AGTCTCGCAAAAATGACATGTTACGATATCAATTTTCATCAAGTTGTCGGAAATTTCCGACAACTTTCAAACTTTTAGGGTATTTTATTGTATATTTCAAAAAATAAAAAAAAATATTTTTTGTTAAAAAATAATAGGTTGTTAGAAACTAATGGAGGTACGAGGCCGCGGTCTCGTCGCCGGAGTTGTAAATCGGCGGGCGTTATAACGCCTGTTGTACTCGCCTAAAACAAAAATAAAAAAAATTTTCTTATTTTCTATAAAATTGCGCTGTCTATGAACCTAAAAAAAGGAAAAAGTGCAAAATTAAGGAAACGACGGGACTTAAAAGAAAATTTTTTGTCAAAATTATTTTAGGGGTCCATCGGGTCGATCGATCTGAATAGGAAAGCGTACAGAACTGCTGATGGTTTTCGCATACCCTTCAACTTCAACTGTAAATCCCCGCAATCTATGGATTTTCAAAATATGTTATCTTAAATTGTTGTTTTATAACAAAAGAGACAAATTTTTTTCTTTATTCATTACTCTTTTATAATTTTATTATCTCGAGTTCGCATCAATGTCATTTTATTTAATTTACGTATAAACGAGAACGCGAACTTCCGTTGTAATCGAAATACGATCTCAAATATGTGAAGAAAAACGTGAATTATTTTTATTGTAATATGTAAGATGTTATGTATTTGAGATATACGTTTAATTTAATTTAATATATTTTTTCTTATCAAGATACATTGAGTTTTTGTTTTCTTATCAGTTTCATATTCGCAAATCAGGTACGTGATGTATAGTTGACATGAACGCAACATATAGAGATATCGATATATTCTAATACATTGGTCATTTTAATATACATATTATATAATCTATTATTCATTCTTCAGACTTATGCATCTATTATAGATATGGTACCCAGATCGAATTCGCATTTGAATCCACATTGCACTTTGAATTTGAAGCGACATTCGATCGGTAAGATATAGGCACACGCCGAAAGCGTGTCCTAGGGGGTTGCGGGGAGGGGGAAAGCCCCCCCCTGCCTACGCTTCAACCTAACCCACACCGCCCCGTGCATCGGGGGAGGATGCGGAGGGCAAAGCCCCCCCCCCCCTCGCCTCCGCCACAACATCCACGCACACCGACCCGTGCATGGGGATATGGGGAGGAGTGCGGGGGGGAAGGGCATGTACTTTGGTATACGCATGTGGTCACGAGGCATGTTTTCAAAACTGCATTCTCTATTACTGTATAATTACATTTCTTTATTATGTTATGTACAGTAGTCAATTCTAGGGATCGATTATGTAATCACATAAAAAACATTTAATAATAAATTATTTCATTTAGCATTATTTAATAAATAAAGAAATGCAGTGTCCAAAGTGTGATAATTAGTTAACAATTGATAAAAGTAATTTTATATTTCGATGCCGAAAATCACGTTATAAAAAAAAGTGCCATAAAAAATATGTTAAAAAATAATGTATGTTTCAAACAAGTGCAAAATGTGATACGTGTGGTTTAACAATTTATTTCAAATTATGTAGCACTTATTGTAACAGCCCTATAAGCGCTTGATATATTAAATAATATTTATACCAAGAATATTAAATGATTTAATAATATTCATATATAGTAATTAAGAAAGTTTTTGATTTGTACTTGCTCTGTATATTGTATATGCGCTTCGTATCTTAAAATCTCCGTGTACTCTGCGCAGGAAATATCACAAATATATATAATTATCTGCAGATGCAGATATATACATTAATAAGGTTCTCTTATTATTTAACGCTGCAATATAAAGAGAATTTAGCATAAGAATAAGAATAGGAATAAGAAAAGAAATTAAGCTGTTTATAAGATGTTTTGGTTTAAGCGGAGAGATTCTGGTATAAAATCATCAGAAACCTCGGCGACGTCAGGAATATTAAGGAAAAGCGGACAAACAGAATTTGCATTTGGGTGACAATAACTTATTTTGGACGAACACGTGCGTTCGAGATAAGCGATATGTATATTTTCGACGACACTCTTTTAAAACCTGACTCGACTATGGCCGGTATTCATAATCAGGGGCCCGATTCTCTAACGAGAAACGTATGCGCAAACTCTGCTCTAACAGAAAGGCTCTGCAAATTGATTGGCTATTGCACAGTTTTTAGCCAATAAGCTTGCAGCTTTTCTGTTAGAGCAGAATTTACGCATACGTTTGTCGTTAGAGAATCGGGCCCCAGATCTTTAATATCTTAAGATGCTAATACGGCTCTGTGATTGGTTAATGATATTAAGATTGATTAATGACTTAAGATTGTACTTAATAAGATGGTCTTAAATATAAGAACCGACTATGAATACCGGTCTATAAACGCGAGAAAGTAAAGGCCATCGCACGAAAAACAAAAGTTTCAGTCATAATCGTATAAGGCCGTAAGAAAATAGACCAATCACACTCGATTATTCTTCGAGCTCAAGGAGAATAATCGACTGTGATTGGCCTATTTTCTTACGGCCTTATGATTATAATCCGTATTCATAGTCAGATCTTATTTCAAGACTGTCTTAAGTAATGTCTAGATGCTAAGGCTGTGTGTGATTGGTTCGTAACATCTTTCGTACTTAAGATGGTCTTGAAATAAGATCTGATTATGAATACCGGCCTTAATTGGCTGCTGGGATATAGAGAAGTTCTCGAGTTTCTAGAAATCCTCTATCTTATAGCCAATCAGTACGCCCGACAAACGTGAAATATCAGCCTAATGGAGGATTCACACCGCGTCCGACGATCCAATAATCCGTAGTGTAATACGGCCTTTAACGAGTTTTTTAATGCAATAAGTAAAAAAATTATTGTTAGAACAGACAATAATTGCAAGAATTTGCATAAATGGGTGACTCTCTTCGACGAGAGGTTAATTGTTGTTTAGTTAATTTGTAGATTATATAGATAATAGTAATTGTTTTAAGGTTATTACCAATATTTTTAGGTTATTCGTACATTATTTATTTTCATATTTATGATATTTATGATAAATATTAAAACAGCGATAATACTTTACTCCCTTTAATATTTAAGAACATAAATATAGATATAATAAATATGTAAAGTATAAAAAGTTCAGTTATTCCTTAGTAAATAAAGAATTCTTTATACGTATTATGATGCATATTGATGATGTATGCAAATATTTGATAAATGATAAATTTTATTCTTCTAGAACAATCATAAATAACCATACTTAAATTCAAAAAATGTAACTTTTATTTTTTAAATAAAATTAGAAATGCGCCACTTATGTAGAATGTATAAAAGCAACAGCAATTTCACCTATATTTGAAAATATATATTTAATAAGTAGCATTTGTAACTTTGTAATAAGACCATACTTTGCTTATTACATTTATTTCTCTAGCCATTTATCTACTTTCGTGATAATATTTGTTTTCAGGTCCTACGAGTCTTCAAACAACTCCATAGAACAAGATTAAAGACATTCGAAGGTGATGAATATGCATTGCAAGGTAATATATTTTGCACTTTGTTAATAATCTACGTTCTGATGAATTTTTACATTTTTAACAGTATTTTATTCTATCGTTCCTTAGTTGTGAGGGATAAGATAAACAATGAGTACAGAAAGTATAAAAATGTCACAAACCAGGCGGCAATTGAAGAGGTATATCTCTTGTTTCAAATATATAGATAATACGTGATTGAAATGTTGCGGGACTTTATAATCTAAGTCTAAAGAAAACTTGTACAGAAGCATCGCATTATTATTGTTTCAGTTAAATAAATTTGCGCAGGAAGTCGAGCATGAAGTACGAACGACTGTCATACAGGCATTCGAAACGGCACCTGGGAGAGTAGGTAATAATCATGAATTCCAAATAATAGGCAAAACATCAGTCGCGATATCTAATTTTATATCTGATTAATAAGGGAATTTAAATTAATTTCAGCGCTGCGAATTACTCCAGATGTTTTGGTAGATAATATGCCATATAAAAATCAAAAAGATAATAAATCAAGCAAAGTAAAGACTAAAGACGGTAAAGACTAAAATCTATGATACTGATAAATATCAAACGATACCTCTCGCGAATAAAAATCAATAAAGGTATATGAAAATAATTCAATAATTCAATTAAAGGTAATTGAAAATAATTTACTGTCAGATTGTAAACATCTGCTTATTTAAAATTGAAATTGTATTATTTGTAAATAATGTATTATATAGGATATATATAGGTGTATCATAAATGTATGAGCATAAAAAAATACATGTTTAATGGCCTTGATGGAAAAATACTATTTAATTTTATAATTAAAGTAATCTTTATTTACAGCGATAAGATTACAATATGAGTTCCAAGTATGTACAAGCCTTTGCTGGCTAAATCCTTTCATTCTCGATATCACAGGCTGTTTCTACATTCCACATTGAATTTATGCATTCTGCATGAACTATGCGGTTCCTTCCTCCAATTTCATTCTGAAACATATGGAAATCGCTTTACATATTTATAATTATGGTACCCTTGAACGTCTCACCTTTCCTATATATCTTACATAATTATTCACGTGTACAGGATGTAAGGAATGTGAAGAATGTAGATTATCGCAATTTCTATTCGAGAATTTAGCGAGGAGGGGGTCTCAGTACATGAAGAGAGTCTTTGGAGCGAACCTGAAGGAATGGATTCAGTGAAAGTAGCATTTACTTATTAATTGGATGAAGTTATGCGGTATTGAATTAATCGGCATTTTTAAGACTTTGCATTGCGGAATTTGTTCTATATTAACCATACTAGGGAGTATATTATGTGGAAAAGCTGGATCGTCAGTAATGAGCTTCGTTAAGGAATTATAACGAACGCTACCAGAAACTAAGGTCCGTGAACTCTATGCGGAGATCTTACACATGCTCAGGATGACTGCGGATCTGGTCGATGAGATCCGCCGGTCGCAATTGATCGGTGCAGATGCGATGTACTGCGGTAAATAGTGGGAATTTGTCCATCAGGTTGCGCGCCTTCAGCATATCATGAACCTCGTCCGCTGTTGCCGGTCCTTGCAGCTTCTGTCCGGACAGCATCTCGTCCTCCAACACTTTGATAGTCTGCAACGATATATTACACATTACTTAACATACGAGTTGTTCCACCATTACCGCAGTAATGCGAATTTTCCAGATCAATTTGGATACCAATTGAAAAATTTTTATTCCAAATTGAAGCGAGTTTGCGAAAGTGAGTTTTAATCGCTAAAGTCAATTGCGCGGGTGGACAGAAATCCACAAGGACCCGTTTAGAATCTCTTACCTTGCCAGTCTTGACAAATTGCTCGCAAACTCTGCGATTTCTTCCTCCGTAACAAGTGGTAATCAGATCCGCGACGCCGCAGCTCTCGAAGAACGTGGAGAGCTTGGAACCGCTGTAGAAGGTGTCGACAAACTTGATCATCTCCATCAGTCCTAATCGGATCACCGCGGCCTTCGTGTTGTCACCCAGCCCGAGGCCATCCACAAAACCAGCTGCACACGCCACGATGTTCTGTGATCGAAACATAATCAAACCCATGAGCGAAATGAAGTAAAAAGTGATGGAAGTGCATCAGTCATCTAGGACTTGGGATACAATAACAAAACAGCATTGATAAAATACAAGTACGATTGAAGTATATATGCGGTGTCAGTAAGGTAATTCACACATGGGATTTCCTTTGAAAGTGATCTACTTGCTTTCAGAGCCCCGCACACTTCCACGGTCTCGCAATCCTCCACGACGACCACTCGGAAGTTTGGAGTCTGGATGAGGTCTCTCAGCACTGGTGCCAGTCGTTTGTCCTTGCACCCTATTAGTTCATGTGTCTGACTGTTTCATAGTCTTTAAACGGTAGGTGGGGGGGGGGGGGGGACTCACGTGCAAAAAATTCTCATAAGTTTTTTAAGAATTTTTTATATTTTAGATTTTGGAAAATTAAAAAAAAAATACTTACACTTTTTTATATCTTATATAAGTTTTCTTTGGAAATTATAGAATAAAAGATATTTCAAATATGTATATAAGTAATTCTAAAAAAGCATTTTCTAAAGTCTTTCAATTTGTATAAAAAATCTAAGAAACTTTGTAAAAAGTTACAACATTTATACAGAAATTCTGAAAAATTATGTGAAGAATTATAAGAAAATCTTTCACCAGGGTAGCGTTGTAAAATTTACTGCGTAAATTCGAATAAAGTCAAAATAGAGAATCCAGGAAATCCGCGCCATGTATTCTTGAATGCAAAAGTTACGAAAATACTTACCAATCGTAGTTTCGCAGAATTTCTCTTCGGCGACCTCGTTGGCCAGGTTGGCGCCCATCAGAACGTTGCACTGTATCCTCAAGTTCTTTTCGATAATCTTGGAGATCAACTCGATACTGTTTCCTTCACCTCGACCAAAACCCTTCAATTCAAACTCGCCAACTTAATCTAATGCGTTGGAATAAAGACGAAGTGCTATTTGAAACGTACCTTAATGAGAGAAAGGCCGACTGCAGTTGGTTTTATGTTGTCCAGCAGCGTCGAGCACAGGGTGCGAATAAACTGATGTGGTATAACGAAGATGAGGATGTCGGCATCTTTCGCTGCCTCCGCAACGTCAGGCACGGCGACCTGAAAGAGTATCGAGAAAATTTTACAGAGATTAAAATACCTGCATTTCTATAAATCTGTCTCTTTTTAAAATAATTGGATAGATTGTGAAGAGATTAGACAAAAGTTGGAATACATATCTCTCTATGCTGTCAAGAAGTATTGGAGTTTGTTCTACTCCGTAGATTTTATACCCCACTATTCATTTCTTTTACATAATCTTGTTGTTCTTTTGAGCGGAGAAACTCGTAGCGAATATATAAATCGATCATTTTTCTTTTAAATAAACATGAAGAAAGTGGGGAATAAATTATTCTTTCGAGATAAATTCGTCTAAAAAGATTTTAGGAAAAAGGCATATTCTAAATCTCATTGAAATATCGAGATTCTCAAAATTGATATGGTAAAGGGACAGCGACGATATTCATTGAGATATTGCATGCTATGAGGAGCGTTTGAAGCCCGATCGTTTGAAGAAATTTACGAAGACAAAAGATGGACATTTTAAATAGTTATGATTATGATTACTTTTATATTATGATTGGTCAATTCAACAAAATAGGTATACATTTCATATTGCTTTTTATTTTAGTTACGACAAAATAAATTCGCTTTTCTTAGGAACAAAATTTATGGCACGCGACTATATATATAATATATATAAATTTTATTATATATATACATAATTATATAGATATATGTATATTATACACACACAATATAAAAATTTGCAAGAAAATGAAAAGATTGATTTGTCATTTCAACTGACTATAGCTAGCTTGAAATCAAAAAGCTGATTTCACCATTACGGTTAAAGATTGCATAAATTCAGATATCGATATCGGATGATAATTATGATGCTCATCTAATAATCATCTAATAATACATTATCATTACGATTACTTTTGTTAGGTTTGTTTCTCGGAGTGTCTCCTATTTTTTTAAATAACAGATATAGAGAAATAATAGTCAATCTCATCCGATATCGATATCGAAGAATTATAATGTCTGCTCATCCAAACATCCGGCGTATCAGCAAGATCGGATATGGAGATACGATATCTGATGGGACGTGTTCTATGATTTAACATTTGCATCATATTATAGAAACGATCTGCCGTATATAAAGCGCATGGACAAGCGTGCGGATAACGTTATAGCTCGCCCAGATCGGCTCTCGACTCATCAGTGCTCGGCAAGCCTTCCATCGAGACAGACGGGATTGTGATTCGAGTAATTCTTCCATAAAACGTTCAAGGACGAGCAATAATGAGGCTTAACACTCTCGTACCGAATTTTAAGGCCGACACCACGCAGGGTCCCATCGACTTTTACGACTGGCAGGGCAATTCGTGAGTCTCATTATTATACAATATTACATATATGTATAATAATATTTTAATAAAAGGAATTATATTACGCTCGATAAAAGCAGCAGCTAATAAAAGTGACAAACGGCTAATTTTCGAGCAATCAAATAAGGATTTTAAAAAATAGATTAAAGCAAACTTGTTTATTGAAAATTTTAAAGTTACAAGTTTGGTTTAATCTATTCTTTAACATCCTTATTTGATTGCTCGAAAATTGGCCGTCTGTCAATAACATTTTATTTAAATATTATATATTCATTTAATATGTTTAAATAATAAGTACATTAATTCGTAAGAAGCGACATATGTTATATATGACCCCATCCATTTACGTTAATCTTATCTCGTATTCTCTTTTCAATTTTTTTTAATTTTCGATATCTCTCGAAGACATGTATACCGTATTGAAAGTACCTACAGCGGAGGAAGAACACAAAAGTCCCCTCCTGCAAAATTTTATCGCAAGTCATGAACTCGTTGCTTTCGTTATGTGGAGTCAAGTTCAATGTAAATGTTCGCTAAATATAGCAAAATATGGTAAGAAAGTGCGAGATAACGCGACATCGATTGCAAAACTAATTGCACGAGCGATCTTATCCGGTTTGTTTTTTCATTATAATTCGCCGGTAAAACATGTTCGGTAAATGGTGATTGCGAGGTGGAATCATGTTAGAACCGATGCGAATAGTAAACAGTTGAATTTGCATTTGTCTATTGCGTATTATGCGGTCTGCAGCAAAGTGCGCGGTCCAAGAATAGAGCCTCTCCATCGTGGCAAACATCAGCGACAGGTTGTTGAAGATAACAACCTGTTGGCGACAACTCTTACATCATGGCTAATGGAAACCAAACGGCTATTAATTTACAATTAATTACTTTTGAGATGAGAAGGAAGATATATTTTTCAAGCATAACAAATTATATAATTTTATATATTACTTATTGATGACAATTAAATTTATTTATATGTGAATTATTCGATTGTTACGTAAGAGACTTACCAATAATTTCGTACAAACAATTTTGTTATCAAGATTTTATCCCTTTACATATCAATACGATCTCTAGATTAAATGAATGAGATTATTTGCGTAATAACATAGTGAGCTAATAATTTTTTAGAATGGCTCTAAAGAAGAGGAGTAATTACGTATTACGTTATGGTACATTTAGAAGAAAGTATATTTGATATTATCCTTGCGAAACGGTTGTCACGGTAAATACGCCACGGGCTGATCAATATACTATTATTTCGCTTTTATGTGTTTCGCCCAAGATCAAATTTTCCTGGTTTTCGTCTGAACTACGATCCTCTACCGAAGAAAATTGACCAGCCGTGGTAGTCGTTCAGAGTGGATTATGAGACTTTTACAGTTAGAGTAAAAAGGTGGTGCGACCTTATCCGCACCTGGACCGCGCCCAGGCTTTTATGAGAGATTTTGAGTTCTGAAGTTTCGAGAGTGCTCGAGCGACAGATCAAATTTTGTATCGCCCTGCAGCCGCGTATTTCAGCCGGTGGCTGTAAACGGCCGTCGTCGCAAATAATTTGGTCGTAAATAATGAATTATTTGTAAGCGTGACGCGCATGAATTGCAAACCTTCGTCCGACAACTCGCATTGAAGAGTCGAAGGACGACCGTGAGCTGAAATAAATGTATATTGCAACAACGGGGTCTACCCTTGGCACGATACCAAAGCGAGCGCTCGACTATATTAAGTGCTCGCAGTTGAAAGTGTCGCACTTTGAATCAGAGTAATCTTGTGACCGGTTATATCATTGTATTTCTGATAAGTGCCGTAACAGGAGCGATTACGACACGTGTCAACGGGAATTCATGCACTTGACTGATATCGCCCAAAATTTTGGTATTGAAATCATGTAGAATTAATTTCAATCAAATTTTGCTTTTATATCATATTTGAATCAATTTTGGAGTTTTTAAAAAATAAATTTAATGTTTTGTTTATGTCATAAATGTGTTTTTTATATATATTTTTAATTATATTTTAATTTAAGAGAATATTATATATATATATAATATGTGCAATTTATGTATAGATATATAACACTACAGTGTCAATTGTAAGTTATATACTTTTTTATATAATTATATACATTAAAATATAAAATGATAACTTTATATTTAATGTATGTAATTATCATATAATTTAAAACTTTTATAATCAATTTTTTAATATATCTGATCTAATTGACGTTTATTCTTTGCAGATGGGTGGTCATATTCTCTCACCCTGCGGACTTTACCCCCGTGTGCACCACCGAACTGGGTCGCATTGCGGTGCATCAGCCGTTTTTCGAAAAGCGTAACACCAAGTTGCTGGCTCATTCCGTCGACAAGCTCAAGGACCACGTGGACTGGGTTAATGTAGGCATCATTTAATCCTACATTCGATGTCATTCGTTCATCTTCAAAATTCTTACGCACTTCTATTTCTTTTTTTTTTCCATAATTTTCGAACTAATTCTGGTTAGTCTTGTTTGTAATCGATTTTTTAAGTGTAATTCCCAATTTTCATCGTCGCAGGACATCAAGTCGTACTGCAAAGACATTCCCGGCGCTTTCCCGTATCCCATAATCGCTGATCCCGACCGCAAGCTCGCCGTGCAACTGGACATGATCGACGAGCAGAGCAAGGACGATCCGGAAACCGCTCAGACCGTTCGATCACTGTACATCGTCAGTCCGGATCATCGCCTGCGACTTTCCATGCAATATCCGACCTCCACTGGGCGTAATGTCGAGTAAGTTGATTGAATGCTGCGCATCTGATACGGTTCAAACATTTTGCGCTCATGTATCGAGCACATGTGCTATTTAAGTTCGTTATATTAATCAATGTTATTATCGTTTCAGCGAAATATTGCGTGTGATCGATTCGCTGCAGCTCGTCGACAGAAGGCCGGAAATAGCAACTCCCGCCAACTGGGTGGTGAGTCTCATCTTTCCCTTTCGTTGCGTGCCGTTTGCGATAGTATCTATCTTCAATTGTGACGACAAATTACATTAACTTAATTCAATAACGACTGCGAAATGATGGATTTTTTTTTCTGATTTAATTATGCGAATGCTATTGCAGCCCGGTGAGAAAGTGATGATCCTGCCGACAGTGAAAGAGGAGGATATCCCGAAACTGTTCCCAGAAGGAGTCGACCGCGTATCCATGCCGTCCGGAAAGGTCTACGTCCGCACTACCACTAATTACTAATTATAAAAACGTTTTTGCTACATGTTTCTACTCGCTTCGTCCGAATAGCTTTAGTTCAGCGCCTTAAAGCAAAGTCTATGCTTTTGGAAGAAGATTGTAGTACGACAAACTTTTCTCTAATAAAAATTTTACTCGGCAACTACGACGAATTATTAATTAAGCCCGTAAATATATCTATTAAAAAAAAATTGCTGATTTTGCAATTGATATCGAACATCGATTGTAAATAAAAAGGATAATAATATTCGAGATACTTGCCACATTTTCTGGAATTTTGTGACCGGGCAGATATTTAACGTTCTCGTGGATGGTGTTGATTATGTTGGTCAATTTTTCGTTGTTGATGATCTCCTCGTATACGTACATTGTCACTCGAGTCTCAAATATGTTGTTGTACTTCATGACATTCGCCCCGACGATCTTCGCGATCGCCGAGCCCCTGGAAAGATTTATCGCATGTCATAAAAAGATTCTTTGCACAAATAATATGTTGCTTTCAATTAATATGTCGGTTAATAATAATAAATAAATAATATATAATATATAACATACAATATTATATAAAAATATACTAAATGGACAAGATCGAATGAACTAAATTAATACATATACAATAAATAATTATATATACTCATTCATATTTCACATATTTTATGTATTTATATAATTATGTATTTTATATATATATTTTATAGTTATTAACTATGGTAAAAAAATTGAAATTAACTATAGATATACATGTAATCGCAAATTTGCTTTATTAAGTTGATGCATATTATGTAGTTGCATATTATGAGCCTTCAAAATTACATGATGATGCGCCGAGTTAATTTTGGAACAATCGGCCGTCAAAGCCGACAACACAATTGCATTGCGACGCGTTTATCACCGCAAACTAAATCAAATGAAATTGTAGCTTAGCCTATCATTGATTTTCAAAATTGGTTTCAACCTTGAGGTAAAATATATTTTTTTTTACTTTTTAATATATTACGATATAAAAAACGAATATCTATATATGTATATAGGCCTTTTTTATAATAAAATATTATTATTTTATCATTACAAAAATTATTTTATAAAACTTTTACAAAATATTTTATATTGTTATAATATGTGATTATTACTCATTCAATCTTTAGTATTATATTAATTAACAGTGCAATTTCATTGAATATTAATTAGTTTATAATTTATTGATAATTTTTCGACATTAAGTATCAAAAGGCTCTTCCAAATTTTTCTTTTACTATAAATTTATTTTCTAGCGATTATTTAACACTAGTTTACGATTATATAAACTTACCTGAAGAAGATATATAACTTTCATCTCTGAATGGAAGCACTCCAACAAATATTAGACACATGCAGTCCAATGAATCAATACAAGACAGGAGAGAAAAAGAAGAAAGCGGGGAGAAACGCACGCAACTAATTCCTAATTAATTAGCCTTGGCACAAGGAAAATTACCAATTGCCGCTGCCGACGATGCATACTCTTTTCTTCGCATCTGGCATCTCTCGTCTCTTTTAATTATCTTCTCCTGATGACAAATAATGGTAATCCCGATCGACGGCCGATCAATCGCGAGGCTCGACTGACCGACTGACTTAAAAGCCCGCTGACGGCTGACCTTAGCGGCGATTGTGAATTATTTTCTTAGCGGCTTGCGCGCAAGCTCTGGACCAGGGCCAGCCGATGAGATGAGAACGAGTGCTGCAACGACGAAGCGTCACGACGAAATTAGCAACCCACTGATAATCGCGTTAATGAGTTAAGGTCGCGTATTTAAACTTGACCCTTGACGGCGCGTCCGTCTGTTCGATTTTATATTTAACAGACAACAAAGAGCGCAACGTTCTTTGAATCTAGTACTTGTCGAGCTTTTGACAAAAGACAAAACTTTCTGAGTACGATAACATTTCTACAAGTGGAATACATAAAAAAGTATAAGGAATAAAGCGATCGCTTAATAAATATGATCAGCATACCTATTCTATTGGATATAATTAAATATTTAAGATATTTTTACATGTCAATTAATAAATGTCTACAAATTTTTACTTTTGTATGTCTACTCGAAGTTTGAAGGAGGTTTGAAGATTAGGAATACGAGAGTCGAGAGAAAAGAGAGAACATAAGCAGTTCGAGTGTTTACAAATTGCTTAATTCTCTGTTGAAATAATTATCGATTACATATCTAATATTGATTACAATTACGATGATCGCATTCTATTATTCATTATACGGAACATTATAGCTCTTATGATATAAAAAAACGAGTGTGATTCCTTATAAAGAAACGCCTGATTATCTTATCGATATTTACTGAAATTATTAATAGGAAACTCTAAGGAATGATTCTTATATATATACGCAGTAAGATAAAATCTTTCAAAAAGTTTTGCCATGCGTGAAAGAGTAATTAGTAACCACAATGAGATGAATTATTTCATGACCTATAAACTATCACAGTTTACACATACGCAAGTCCATGAACTATCACAGTTGCATCGAACATCGTTTGAATACATTGATCATCTCGTGAAAGAGCCTCCTGTTTCGAACTCGCTCATCTTACTTGTTTGCTACTCGAACGTTTCTTAAGTTTCTTACGTAAAAATGAGCTTTCCGGGTTCAATAACGTCTCTGCAAACGTAATATATAAAAAAAACATATTAAACAATTATTACGTTAATATTGGAATTATGGCAATTATTATCAACGTAACAGGAATCCCGACTCCAGCTTAACAACTAATGCTTCACTTTGGTTTAACACCGACGAATTAATTCAATGTATCACTGAACTACAGCACGCTTTCATACGATCTAAGTCGTTGGCGTTTCAATGGCGACCAGTCCTCCCTCGAGGAACGACGCTCGGCATCCTCAAAGACGGCACTTGGGCGACTTGAGCGTCATCGACGACGGCGAGGCTTCCTCGTCCCTAAATACGGAGTGAATGCGAATTAACCCCTTCAGGCCGACATATTTTCCGCAATATTTTATCGTCAGCCCAAAAAATAGCTTTCGCATCAGCTAACGAATGGACGAGTATAACACAGTGTTAAAAAAATATGTGAACAATCTTTAATTAAATAGTATATATATACAGTCAACATATATACTCATATAAAATACGTTAAAGCACACTATATGTCTTTATGTATTTTGTTTTCTTTAAATAATCTCAATGCGAAAATCACTCCTGAAGTTCATCGAAATGGTTCAATAATATCTTACATGTAATTTCATTAGGAAAAAGTCAAATAGGATCTCGAGTTTGATCATGCATGAACGAAAGGAGACTTTAAGATTCTAGGAAAAACAAGGGACAGAAGAGCTATTCTTTTTATCAACAAACAATTAGTTATATTTGTTCTCTCTCAGTTTACATAACGGAATTCATTCGTCGGCAACGCATACAACAATCAACGATTGGGAGGATCTATAGATCTAATTCATCTACTCGATTAAAACGTTGAATAAAATCTCTGTCACGATAAAATATATATGTACATATATTCATATTGTAAAATGTAACAATTTATTTATCGATCGCGTTCAACGCGATACGGGAATTTTATTACTAAATTATTCGAGCATTTTGAACTTATGATTTTTAGAGCCCTTAGATCCGTAAGAAACCGATGTATAAGATCGTGGAATTACAAAATCAAAATTTAAGCAATTTGTACTAAAAACGAGTGAAAACTTCATTAAAATTTTAAATCATAAAGTCATTCTCGAAATTATGAGTCCGTGAAATTTTATATTCATAGAATCGTGTTTGCGTGTATCTGAAAATTTGGAATCCTGATTTTATAAAATTTAGAGTCCTATGAATCCTTGAAATTATAGATTCATGAAACCTTGGAACCATTGAAATTTTGAACAATGTAATAAATTTGTAGTAAGATTTTACAGTCAGAAGACGATTAGACTTGGTTCAAGATTGGCACAGGTTCCATATATTGCGTTATCAAATCTCTGCTAATTTATCTTATCAGTGAGTTTTTCACTTTACAGTGTTTTGAAATAATTCTCTTTGGAATTGCAGAATGTTGGATACTTAAAACTCTAAGCAATTTATGTTCTTGAAGTTTTCAATCTGTAAAATTTTGGGCCTTTTTAAAAGCAGATTAATTAAATTCTCAATGATAAAGAGTCCATAGATCTAAGCGGGCTAATTTTCTCTATTTTACGTTAGTGAATCACCTTTAAAATGATAACAATTATGAGCTTACATGTGTTCCGGATGGCTGCGTATGCAGTCGATTAAGTCCGTCGGTTTTAGCTCACCAATGCAAATCCGATGAATTGCTGTGAATAATGGAAACCTATTTTCCATGTTTTTAGATTTCAGCGTGTAATTGACCTCTTCGGCGGTGACCGGGCCCTGCAGCTTCTGTCCGTTCAGCATCTCCTTCTCCAGTGTCTCGATCGACTGCAAATCATAATCATTGCGTTATTATACGACACAACAATTTGTAAATACGAAGTCATATATATGAATACGTTATATCAAGTTGTTGAAATATTGTATTTTGGAAAACTTCTCTAACAGATGCTTAATATATAATATAATATATATAATATAAAAATTCCGCCAGAATGAGCCAGATTGCAAAATTGATCAAGATGGTGCATGCTCATGTCAAGCTCGACACATCCTGTATTACTGACCTTGCCAGACTTGACGAAGGCCTCTGAGACCTTCCTATTGCGCCCACCGTAGCACGTTGTGATCAGATCGGCCACTCCGCAGCTCTCGAAGAAGGTCGCCAATTTTCCACCCGGGAAGAATACGTCGACAAACTTGATCATCTCCATGAGGCCCAGTCTGATCACCGCGGCCTTTGTATTGTCACCTAGACCCAGCCCGTCGACGAAACCAGCGCCGCAGGCAACTATGTTCTATAAAACGTTAATACAAAAATATTATCTAAATCTTATTAAAATAAAAAAAGAATAAAGAGTCATCATAAAATTAATTAAATTTGATATAAATATTAAAATTAGGTTAACAAGAAGAAATAGTCATTCTCACTTTCAGCGCTCCGCAACACTCCACAGAATCCACATCCTCGACGACTACTACCCTGAAATACGATGTCTGGATCAAGTTGCGAAGTACCGGCGCCATCACTTTGTCCTTGCAGCCTGTAAATTCCAATCTGAATTGCAGAGCTTATTTCATTAGCAAACCACTTTAAATCTATGTACTTGAAAAACAGGAGTTATACGCGATTCACATCAAGTTTTCTACAGCTTGATAACGTGCTTTATAATCTCCACTTTTGATTTAAAACTGTACGCTAAGTAAACTCTTTAATTGAAAACTGCATTAAACCCTGCGTTGCATTTGAGCGCTGTGAATCATAAATGTTAATGAGGCGTGAAGCAGAATAAGATTGACACAAGAACCGGATCAATAAAATACAAGATAGCTAAGATCAGCGAAACGCTTTTTATTAATCAATTAAACTCATTACGCGATCCAATGTTGTAAGAAACAACTATGCTGTCGCAAAACATTATCGCCGCAAAGGCAACACTATCTAACGTAATATCTTTTAAAATGTTGCTTATTTATCGCGATTAAACTGATATCTCTCAAATAGTTAAGTATAAGATCGGGATTTTAATTCTCCCTCACCAATGGTGGTCTCGCAGAACATCTCGTTAGCCACCTCGGAAGCCAAGTTAGCGCCCATCAGCACTGAGATTGGGATTTGCAATTGTTTCGAAATAATGTGAGAGATAAGTTCGATGCCGCCACCCTCCTTCTTGTCGAAGCCCTACAAAGAATATTCCGAATATGTAGATTGAAGAATCTACACGCGATATTCTCGAAAAATTGTACACGGGAGATCGAGATGTTAAGATGTACCTTGATCAGCGACAACCCGACGGCGGTGGGCTTGATCTTCCCCTGCAAGGTGCTGCATATCCTTTGGATGAACTGATGCGGGACCACGAATATAAGTATGTCCGCGTCCTTCGCAGCCTCCACCACGTCTGGGATCGCAATCTGAAACAAATCGACACTTAAGTGACTGAATCCTGGAGTAAGAATGGAAATAAGTGAAACCAAAAGGTCGCTTTGAGTTCGTATAAATTTGGCTTAAATAAATAAAGATGTCAAATAATAGAATTTCTAAAAAAAAGGGGAATTTAAATGGATTCCTCCAGAAAGGAAAAAAGGAAGACTTCTGAAACTTTAGAAGAATATCGAGAAGTGTAAGAAAGTTGCTTAAGATTGGGAAGACAAAATTTACGATCAGAAGACGACAGTGTTGAGACGATATGTACTGTTTAAAAGAATGTCGCAATTCATCGGCGAGGCGTTTTCCGCTCGCTTTAATCCTCGGTGATAAGTAAAAACAATTATACGTAGAAAATAACGCGTCCTTGGATATCGCTCCATCGAATCGGTATGATACAAAAAATTACCGGAAAATACGACGAGCATCATTTCCATTTGTTTCGCTCCTTTTTACGTATATTTAAAATAGAATTTTTATCGCAAATTCTTTAAGCGATTTGGAATAGATGTCCAAGAATCGGAATAAACGATTGGAAATAAGCTAGGAGAAAAATAGATTGATAAAGTATTTTTCAAAGTCCATATTTCGTGAATAATGTTAAAAATTGAGGCAATGCTATGAACAATTTTGGTAAAACAAGAAGAGGACTTTTAATTTTACAACTTCACGAAATAGTGCTTGAATTTCCCCCCCCTTTCAAAACTACTAAATATGATTATACCAGGTGAGTCTCGCAGCGGAATTTTTTGTATTTTTGAACGTTGAACTCTCGAGAAAAATCGCAAAAATATCTAGAACTTTAAACTTTACACTTTTGAGATTTTCGATGTATCCTAAGTTCTTAGATCTTTACTCTGCGATTCTCGGCTCGAGATTGTTGTGTTTCTCTTTTGCCTCTGAACTTCGGACGTCTGGATATCTGTCTCGGTTTCCTTAAAAGTATGAGATGTGAAAGCCGCGCATAGCTAATGACAAACCGGTTTAAAGATGCAAATTATCTTTGTAGCTTGTTTTCGTTCAATATACCCAAAGTATTTCGAAAGAAGGTGATATCGACGATATAACCAAGTGCAATACAACTAAAATAAAAAGTGATGTAACGATCAATGACGTGCGAATACTGATGTATATTTTAAGGTAAAAAGATCACTGATGAATTCTGTTTTGATCGGGTTCATTAGCCATGTATCCGTTGTCGTCATTCTCTTTTTGTCCGAACGCACGTATTTTCTTCTTAAGCCTAATAAAACTGAATAAACATTGATAACATTAAATTGAATAAAATTAAATTACACTGTCTGGTAAAATTTTTTGGTGTCTTGCTCAAAATTTTCAGGACAATTTCATCTATCGCAATATCAGCCGAGAAACAGCTCCAAATTAACTGAAATAACGTGCTGTTGAATAAATAGCAACACGGGACATCCTTTACGTGTTTCTCCAGTAAAATCAGATGGAAATGTATTCCAAGTTGATCCCTTCCCCGCCTTTGTTTCAACGCGTTCTAGCTTGTTGTTAGTCGATCGCGTCTATAGAATTACGTCTTCAAAGGATGAATGTTTCATAAAGACGTGCTATTCTTAGCCGAGGCTTTGTACACGTGCAGCGATTCTTACGGAGAAGGGGGGGGGGGATATTCTCACGAGATATATGGCCAAGAGCGCAGTTTCATAAAATCCCATAGTGAATCACATTACAACTTAATCATCCTAATATTATCCTCTTAATTATTTCTGTCAAACAAAGCTGAAAATAACGATTTCAAAAAGGAAAAAGAAATAGAAGAAACTAAGAAAAAAGAAGAAAAGTACAAGATCTTGATAAACGCCAGAAATAGTCGGGAGAACGTTCGTGATTGTGACAAGGGAGGATGCGGTAGATAAGATGTGCAGTAAATCAATATACGACTGTTTTGATCGCGGTCAGAGTACACGGCGATTAAAGTTCAAAATCGGCGAACGCGTGTCAGTGTTCGTAGAATGATAATGATTACTGGACTCGGGCCGGTCGCTTATCTGTTTCCCTTCTCTCATTCGAGGCACGGCAGAAACTAAAAACAGATATCAGATATCTTCAAGGAGAACAATATAATTCCCGGCGACTTCAAACTTGGAATTTCTGTATCACAGAATCAAATAATAATAATAATAATAATAATATTTAAATAACAACTTTGGGCAAAAACTGACAAGTGCCCAGACAGTCAAAAATAGATTTTGCAAAGTGTCCACTGCAAACTTTGCTGGCAGAATGCCAGCGGAAATGTAATAAAATCTGCCAACGTAATATTATGACAATTTAATCACAGAAACCATGTGGAATCTGCCGTTTCGTAATGGTTACATTCCGTAAGTGATATATCTCACTTGAATTACGTAACGACGGATTCTGTTCGGTTTCTGTTAGCAATCTGTTGCCACATTATATCGGTAGACTCTCTACTGATAGAACACGAGCTTATATAGTGCGGACACACCTGATGCCAATGTGCCGTGATATTCTGCTCGAATCTGCCAGCACACTGCTAATATTTTGCTTATTGAGTTCTACATCATTTGTCACGACTAATGTATATATACGACTAATTTTTGCGACAATTGGTACAGGATAAAAAATTTCTAGAGACTTTTTCCCAAGAGTCTATCAGTACATCCAGTAAAGTCGTTGTGCATAAATATAGTGTAGAATAAAGCTTAAAAATGTGAAGAATGTAAAAACGTGATAAGTTTCCACAGGTCGTTTACCCTCGTCATAGTCATTAACTAGAGCTATCAAAATTCGTTTAAAACGCTTATAAAGGATAAACTGATCATCCAATAAAAAATGACATAAATATAGCTAAATAATAGATATAAAGTGAAAATTGTTGTTATTCGCAACATGATATCTCCGAGTATACGGATTATTGGACAATATTTTATCGTTATATGTGCTTATAATGATAGTGAAAATTTTATCGCGATGAGACACAAACAACCCGCAATGGACAAACAATGTTAAAGAGTCGAGGTTAGAGTGTTGTCTCAGTTTCGTCTTACCACGTTCTCAGGGATCTTATGTCCCGGAAGATACTTGACGTTCTCGTGCGTCTGATTGATGATCTCCGTCAGCTTCTTGCCGTCGATAATCTCCTCGTAAACATACATAGTAACACGATCGGCGAAGCTGCTCTGATTCTTCGCATTCGCGCCGACTATCTTCGCGATGGCCGAGCCCCTGTGAATTTTTAATTGCGATTAGCATTCCAATTAACTTTTCGTGTATCACAGTCGAATTGTTATGCGTGAGATAAGCGAAATGAGAAAACGCTCTTAATTTACATATCGGTCGAGCTTCGACTTGGAGTCTTGCACCTCTATTCTAATATATTTTCATTAATACTAGAACTACCAACGATTAATTTTATTATGTAAATTTACTATACATATACATACACATAATATTTATAGTATTTATATATGTATTCTATTGTTTAAATATATTATATATTTATTAAATATATTATATATATATATTATATATATATATATTTTATATATATATTATATATATGTATATGTATATGTATATATGTTAAATATATTATATATATATATTTAAATATATTTAGTGGAATAATTTAATACATATATTTTTTAAAGAGATAAAGGAAAATTAATCAATTTAATCGCTTACATATTGCAAAAGCCACGGAAAATCTCAAAAATATATCGTTATATAATTGCAATTTCTCTAAAAATTTACTTTAAACAGTCATTTTGACTGGTTCGGTAGTTCTAGCGTCAATTTTTATATCTCGCGAGATACAGCTCACACGACTCATTTCTCCCGATACTACCATAATGTTTAATTAATTTCCTGAGTACTCGCGCGTGCGAAGCCCGCGCTCCAACGATGAGTTTTCCCGCTCGGCACGTGATTAACGATCGGAATGGACATCAGCCGTGCTACAAACTAACGCGGATTCCGTTTCCGCGTTCGCGAGACATTCCTCCCGTCGTCGGCACGAAAAGGCGCCTCGGCGACGGAGAACGGAGATCGGAGCACGCGCGTGATAAACAACAATTATAGCGTACGCATGCAACGTTCGCATGTGCGCGAAGGGCACGTGCGAATCGATCACCGTGCCCCGTCCCGTCGACGATTCCTCCCGACGAGGACGCCGGACTCTGGAGCGCGCCCGGCCGAATGTCGCCATCCCCGAGGGGTTCCGTTCCACCTCCCTCCCGGACTCACCAGTTGCCGGAGCCGATGATGCACACGGATGCCATGGTGTTTTTGAGAACACGCTTCGACGCGGGCGAGGAGACGAGGTGGAGACCGAGCGTGAAGACGCGAGAACCACCGCTTCGTCCGGACGCCGATGTGCGACTGGAGCGGCAGGAGCGGCCGCCGCGCCGCCGAGGGGCCCGGAGACGAGGGACCGACCGAGCGACGCGGCTGACGCGTGCGTCATGCCGCACGCCAATCGAAGTCCAGCTTGATAAGAAATGTGTCTTCGGGCCGGGCGGGAGGACCGCGGGGGGAACCCGCGTGCTGGAAGAAGGAGGGAAGATGTAGCGATAATTTTGAAACTCGAAATCGCTCTGGGTGATGAAAGATTGAGATCACCATGAGTTTTTTCATAATTTTTTTCATCGTAACTATTATACTCAGTTTTATTCAAATATGAAAGAAGTTACGGAAACTTTCCGTTCCTATTTTACCCGCACTCTTTTTATTATCTATTTTTTTGTTGAATTTAACATTTTTACATATTTATTAGAATTGTATACGAATTTATAATTTACATTATAATTTCTTGATGTTTATAATTATGTACTTATAATTATAAATTTTAAATTATGCTACAAATTTATATTTTAAAAAATTACAATTTATTTTTGATTAATCGACATCTTGATTTAACATGTTAAATGATTTTATTAGAATTAGTTGTAAAATTTAGAAGTTTGTATCCGATTTTCTTATAAATCTTCATTAATGATTCTCTCTGAACGTCCCCCAAAAAGTTTAATTGTCACAATTTATTTCTTTTTTGATTAGTCATATATTAATTTAATTCAGTTTTAACGTTCTGTTTAACTCTAACGTTTCCCATCTCTTTGTAAATCTTCAATCAGTAACGGCTTTCTATGCATGTCTCAAAAAGTTCAATTATCAATTCGCTTGATTAATCTTGTGGTTTGATCAAAGTTCTGTTTATAATTAAAAGAGTACACAAGATAAGAGGATATAATTTCGTAATTTAGCTCTTTCTAATTTATTACAGTTGATACCACGTCGTTAAATGAGTCAAACAATCGGATTTCACGCTCGAAGGGACATGAAGATGAAGGATTGGAGATCTTGTTAAGGACTATGTGCGTCCTGTCGAGTATACTATGTAAAAGCATAGTGCTATCGGTGAGTTTTTCATCAAACACTTTTCAACATATGCCACATTTTTTTTTTATTACGTACAGATATATGGAATAACATCAATCGGTCGCCGACGCGACATACATTTGTTTTCAGATCTACAGGCTCTACAGTATGCATGAAGAATTATGCACTGCTCTTGCATAAGGGTTTTTAAAATTGCACAACTTCTAATATTAGACGACGACTGACGAGTAGATATAGTCAACATTTCATTTAGGGAAAAAGGGCTTTAGATCTTGAATTCGATTGTAATCTAATCGACCAAGGAAGAAATTTATAATATCGCGAGAATATTTTCTCTGTCATGATCTTGTGCGTTACGAATCTTGCGCTTTGCGATCAACGTTCTGTTTACAATTAGAAGATTACACAAGATAAGGAGGAAATAATTTCCGTACTTTGATCGATTATTATAATCGATACTCTACGTACACATTTTTATTTATAAGAGTCATCTCATTAACTATTCATAACTGACTTGTTCGATCGAGCAGCTATCGAATTCACGTCGTCCTCGCGCTCGTACTAATAATAATCAAGAGCAGTTATTAATTAACGATGATTAATTATTTTAATCCTCGGTGGTGGCCTGCGCAGCATCGAGGATGATCTCGAAGGAGAACGGCTGGAAGCTGTAGCCCAAACCAGAATAGAATTTGCTCTGAAATTCCACCCTGAAGAATACAAAAAGCGAGAGTTAGAAATAACGTAGATTTTTGACAATGAATATTATCGTTGTAATATAAATTTATCAATTAATATAATTATACACAAAATAAATCGTTTAACTTATTCATATAACAATATATGAAATCAAGGAGATAAAAGATATGAAGATAAATCAAAATACATAAAAGACCTCTCGCGAATAGAATCTTACCAATGTAAACGAAGCGTGTGCAAGAACGCCGAAAGACCTTCCATGAGTACGAGGATGCCTACGGTGAGCACCGCCCAAAAGGCGAAGATAAGGTATAGGACAATGCCGCCATCCCATCCCTCTCTCGCCAGACCGTTTCTCATCACCATGTTCCACAGCACCTCGGACAACTGGGCATGGGCCAGAGATAAGGCCCAGAGACGCAAGTAGGAAGCGGTATGCGACACGCTGCCGAGAACGTACTCGATCGTGTGGATGCCCTGGTGGATGAACACCTCCGTCATGTCTTCTTCTTCCTCCTTGTGACCGCCGCCACTCTGTGGAACACCCCCGCTCTGTTGGAGAGTCCCCATACTGGCCTCCACGTCGCCGTTCTCGGCACCGTGATTGTTGAGCTGGTAGTGCTGCTTTTTACGATTGCGCATCATCAAGATCGGTTTCGCCAGCAGCATCCACGGTACGCAGAGCAGAGCTACGACCACCAGAAACTTTTGCAGGCCGCTCTGACCGCCATACATGTAGGGGTCGCAATTGCCGACTTTGGTGGCGGGCTTGAAGAGCACCATATTGATGAAAGTGATGAGGACCGAGGGCGCACAGCCGGGGCCATCGATCGGCAAGTTTTTCGGGCCGTATTTGATCCATTTGGCAAACATGAGAATTACCATGTAGAGAAACAGCGCCATGAGGAAAATTATCTGCGGCACGAACTCACAAGTAATGTTCATGCGCTTCTTGAAGTACATGTGATTCCACAATCCTACCATCACGCCGAACAACATATGCAGCACCCCGAAGATGATGGAGATCTTCATCTTGTACGAGTTTTGAAAGATGATCTTATTTTCCGCCAGCTGCCACACAGGATCCATGCCGAACGGATATGGATAATCGACATAGTCTGTCGAATTGGGATCCAATTGCAGCTCTTTGTTATGCTGGACGGTACTCCGATTGTAGTTTATCATCCAATTAGAGCCGAAGATGTTGAGCGACTTGGAGAATATGTCATTGTAAATTAGACCGGTATACATGGAGAATATGCCCATAAGAAAGATGATGTAACGGCCACCGAAGAAAATATTCCAGATTTCGTTGTCGCTCTTCTTAGCCGCTAGTGGCTTCTCCTTCAGCACCATCCAACCACCGAATAGGAACATGATAAGGCCGTGGCCTGTGTCACCAAACATTATCGCGAATAGAAATGGGAATGTAATGATGGTGTAGGGTGAAGGGTTCATCTCGCGATAAGATGCGACCCCGTAAGCGTCGATCAACACCTGGAACCCTTTCGTGAACTTGTTCGTTCGATTGTACGTCGGCGGGTCTTCAAACGTTTCCATGCGGTTCAGAATGGGAGGAACAGAACTCCCGCTGCGTTCCTGGAGATGATAGAAAAGACATCGATTTTTCATTTCGCAATACAAAGATCCCATAGCGAAAAGAACGTTATGAAATAGTGTTTATTGATTACCGTCCCACGTCTTAATGCCAGTTGGATAGTCTCGATGTCCAGGACAGGCACCCAGCATTCGGCGATCAGGCATTTTTGAGTGACGTCCAAGTTGAAAAGATTCAGAGTGTGATAGATTGCCTTGATCTTGCGGACCTTGATGAACCAGTTCTTGATGTTCTTCGCGGCGGCCACGAGGACGCGATGACGATGGTCTTGCGTCTGTCCTAAGACCTGGAAATGAAGATTGCGTCATTAACATTTGTTCAACAAATTTTTAATCAAACTTGAAAGAAACTTGTTTAGTGCATTAATATTAAGAATAATATTTAATAATAATAAAATTGATATAGTGGTGACGTGTAAAAAAGATCGATTCAGTGGGCTCCTTCGATTCAAATCCTCATCCTATGCTTCGATTCATAGGAAGTTAATTTGAAGAGTCAAAGGTTTATATAAAGTGAATTGTTTTGAAAATCTGAACGATAAACTGTTTAATTAAAAAGTTAATTAACAAAATTCTTACAGTGTTCAAATCCTCAATGCGAGTCATAACGCCCATAGCCATCTCCCTACGATCAGCTGGCGCTTCCGGACAGGGATACAAGGTCGCCCTGAAGCCCTCACAGATCTTCTTCACGCGAGTCTTCAGCTGATCGCCTTGGAAGAAAATGATGAAGACCGACTTGTACACCTGGTCCCCCTAAATCCATCATTTCCAATCCAAGTTAGTACTGGACTCTCCGATTAAAATATAAGTTGAGATAATTCGTAAGAACCATTTCGACGCAACTTTATCCTTAAATTCTTCGCTTTAGAGTGGAGCGATACGATAACTTACCGTCGAAGGATCCTCCAGAGGGGTCTCAATCTCCGCCTGGCGCAGAAAGACGTTTCCACGGCACGCACGCCACAGCATGCGCTCGAACGCGGGGATGCGTTCCCTCAGGATGACTCCCGCGACGAAGCTGCTCGCGCGGCGAGACAAAAAACAGTCATATTAATAAGCGATAACAATAGATTGGGAGATTAAATATTTAGGGTGTCTATGTCGGCAGGTATGTGCACAAAAAAAACGCAAAACTGCGTGAAACTCGCCACGATCACGATTTACGGGGGTCAATTGTTCTTGCGATGGTTGAAAACGAAGCGTCGTGACGATGATCATTACGAAGACGGTACAGCGAAGCCTTCAATCTGTATCGGTCAACGACTCGATGCGGATTTTCCGTGGTAATTGCCAATTTGGGAAATGATGATTTCTGTAGCCATGGTCCTTCTATCTCTCTCCTTTTCTCTCTTTCGTTCTACGTACCGTTCAGAGCAACCTTCTGTCAACTATCCTAGGGATCCTTGAGACACTCTTTGAACGACAAACTCCAAACAAACAGCATACGTGTGTGTCACAGGAACAAATCGGGTATATACTCATACGCGGGATCATAATTAAATGCCAAATGCCATAGGATAACTTGCTTGTCAATACATTTTTATCAGGTTGTTGCATATGGAGAGAATTTCTTCTAGTGGTTCAAACTTTTTTTTTATTCTCGCAATAAAAGCAATTAAAATTATTATTCTATAAAATATGCACATATATAAATTTTCTAATAGTCACCTCAGAACGAGAAAAGATAAAGATCACATATACAACGACCTAATAAATTTCTTACGTATAGGTCAAATTTGCGTCAAGCCCATAATACTCTTTTTAATACCATTTAATGCATTTTTTTCTAAATCTTGGGATCTTTATATCCTTAAAGGTTCAGATACTGTGATTCTTTGATCCTCGCTTATAAATTATCTGTTTCTCGTATAACATTGCGTAGAATATTCGCGTAATGAAAAGCTCACGATTATATTTATATAACGTTAAATGTGCATAAAATGCGAACTCTGATCCAATATTACTCTCAAACCTCTAAGGATCGAAAATACTGAAAATGTACCGTTCCAAAGATCTAGGGGCTAAAATATATCGAGGTAGTAAGATGCCAAGTATCCAAAGCGTTAAAACATTCCAAGAATTCAAACTTCCACGAAACCAATGTCAAAAATTCGAATTCGCAGAGGACAATTTTTACAGTGTTTGCCCGAGCAAGTCGAAATTAAATGATACAAAAAAATCTGGCGATTTCCTTGCAGAAAGAGAAATATCCCGAAAATGGAAGCGTCGAGCTTTTTAAACGCGATTCTGTTACATCTGCGGTAAGGAGGAGGGTAATTTTAAGAACGATCCAAATAATCTGAAAAGTTCTTTAAAAAATATATTGTTTTCTGCGCGTTTTAATATATAAATTGGTTTTTAAATGTCTTTTAAAAGAGGTTGAACAGTCTTCTCGCGGTTTGAGTGATTACAAACAGACGATAAAAGAATAACTAAAAAAATTTGTTAAACTTGTCTTTAATTTTTACTTGATAAGTGGATTATGATCTAATTGGTGTAAAAAAATTATGATGGTATTAAAAATTACGAACAATCGAAAAACATTTTTCAAACTACAATCAAAATTCAGGAAGAATTTATTTAGAAAAAAGCATCGATCAAAATGTGGCCGATCGAAGAAAAGATCAAATATATATGCTGATCCAAGGATGAGAAGGAATATAGATAAATGGTTTCATTTTACGATTTCTGCACCCTCTCCCTTAAGCGCATGATTCAGAGATGCTCGAATTTCTGCTCCCTCGTCGCGTAAGCAGCGTCGATTTATTCGCCAGAATTGATTATCGGCGATTCCTGGAGTCATTTCAACACCTCGGATTCCTGGGACCTGGCACGACCGGGAAATGGAAGGAGTAACTAATAATGGGAGTACGTACCCCAGCTGGACAGGGCCAAGGGTGGACTGGCGGGCGATATTATCATCGCTAATCAACGCGCGTGTCATGGACTCGGTGGGGTTCAAGCCCGCGTGCTCTTGCTGACGACACAACAGACAAGACACAACCACATTAGCCACACTAGACATGACCACAATGCTCCAGCTCGCCACTCTGTCTCTCTCGGTTTTGCGCGGGCTCTCCCACTGGTTTCTTTCGTTACCCTCGCTGTCTTGGACGAACCTGAGATATCCCTCGACAGTGACATCTCAATGTCTTTCACATGCATGATAATGCCGTGATGTTGTGACAAAATGAATGGAAATGTGATGGTGGAACTTGATTAGAAGTATATAATTTTTCTTTCAAGCTAATTAGAAGATTGCTTCATAATTTCGCAACAGAAATTATAATAATTACTTGCATAATATAATAGTAGCTAGTACTGTACAAAAAGAAACTGTATAAAATTATGAAAGATTTGATATCTTTAATTTGCAGATTTATTAATATCTTTTCTTATTTTTCTCGACTTTTTATTAATTTTTAACTGCAAGATTCTTTTTAATGTTATATTTTAAGTCTTGAAATCACGTTTGAAGATGATATTGTAGAATGCAGCTTGAGAAGCAGTGCGAAATCATCAAAGACACTTTATTGCGCCGAGATATCTCAAGTTTGTCAACTTGTCGGATTAAATAGGAATTGCCAAATGCAACTGATAACAGAAATTAAATATTTGCCAAGTGATAATTGACAGCAAGTCAAACCACGATCGAATGCTCATATAATTTAACATTAATGTGAGAAAGGCAGAAACCAGAAAATATATCTTTTATATATTTCCAGATAAAATTATATGTATAATTATTAAAATTTATCTATAATTACGTAATATAATAAATAAATGTCTCTGAAATAAGTTTAAATAAAAACCTACACATGTATCTAAAACACAAAATAAATTAAGATATAAAATTTCACTTTGTATGTAAAAATAATAGAAAAATTATAAATATGATATTATAAAAATGTTTGAAATTTCCTTGACTTTAACTAATCGTGTCATCACCGAGAATTTTTAAAGAGTGAAATTATTGGATAAATATTAGAAAAGATACGTGGCAATTCCTATTCATCAAATAATCTGAAAGAAATTCAAGCCATGATTACTTCATTCAGCGGTCCTTAATACAGCTGTAAGGATTTCATCGAAAACAAGGACAATCGATCGAATTATATTAGAATCGTTGCTATCAGACTTATCCGATTTCCATTTTTTTTTTTCTAATCAATTAGAAGTTGATCAAGTTAACATAATTATTCGCACTGTTTGCATCGTTCGATGCAAAATGTGAAATGGGAACAATTTATTTTTGAGTAAAGCATGACGCAAGCCAAGCTGTCAGATCGTTAAAGGAGTTTCGTTGGTTCCTGTTAGTTGGTTCAGTTCTAAAAACTTTTCGATATTACAATCTTTTTTGTATATGTTTTTCTTTTTAAGATCTTGGAGATTTCAAATTTTTTAAAAATAATGAATTCTTGAGATATAAATTATGAAAATATTAATACTAAGACACTTAGAAAATTTAGAAAACTGGAAGATTAAACATTTTTTAGTTTATACATCTTAAGAAACCTTATCTAATCTTACATTTTTTTGAGATATTTTTCAATATTTGGACATCATATTTTGCGAAGTTACGTGTTTCATATTTTAAAAATGCAAATATATGAAATATCGCAATGATTAAGTACATTCTTTCAAACTCTCGAGTCTTGTACCAAAAATCAATAAATCCTAAACCAAGATCCGACGAGGAGCCTTTAACGATCTAACTAATGATCCACATTGCTTTTGATTAACGTAATAGAAGATAAAAACGAGTGCGAGGGCATGCGAGCAAGCGGCACATTAAAAAAAAACACATACAGACAGACAGTCCTTTGTTAAGAAGAGAGAACGTTGTTATACATACCCATGGCCACACCATCATCATTTATTGTTATTTACAACGTTGTATCACTACAGTGAGAAATTATTACAACAATTTTGCTGCGCGAGCGTCGTTTGCTGGAAAGCGAGCGGATCCCGATCGTTTTCATCGTGGATCGAAAGTGTATCTCGATACAGTTTGAATTTCTCTATTTGAACGGGTGTTAAAAAAACAGGTGACTGCATCAAACTGTATCAACTGTTATCAATCGGCGCGATTCCACGCCGATCTTTTTTCTATTCCCCCTCTTTCGTAAACGCGCGTCCACTGCGACACGAAGTGGGTGGAGAGCGTTTGTTTTGCACAAAATCGGTTATCAAAGCGAATCATCGCGTTTGTCTTTCAAGTGCGATTCCGATTGCTGAAGCATCCCCGAGGACGAAGCAAAAAGAAAACAGGATTATCTTATCTTCATAATATATGAGAATTAATTGCGCTAATTTGACGAGGTATTAAACGAATATCCGAGATAACGTTTGGAGACGGCACAAGTATGTAGTAATTTGGACAGTCAAGAATTTAAATTTTCAATAATTTTATATAGTCACTGAGAGAAACAAGGATCTCTTAGAAGGAAGGATCTTAAAATCGGAATAATCGAAATAGAAAAATTCTAAAACATTTTTAAAGAGATTCGGATTGACTCGAATTCGGGAGATTTGAGCCAGAAATTCTAAGGATTTAACGAGAAAAGGATCTCCAGGATATGAAAATCTGAAAATTTAAAAATTCTAGGAATTTAAGTTTCTGAGATTCTGTGGAGAAAATCTTAGAATCGAAATGATCGAAACATACAGATTTTCTTAAGAATTGGACACAAGTGGATTCTCAGTGGGGAGAGAAACTCGTCGAGAGAGACGAGGGGAGCGGAACAGCTCGAAACGGTCTTCGCGAGAGGGTGCTCCAGCAACACAGGGTACGGCTCCGTTCGTTCGAGCGACCGGGGTCTTGGATATAGACACAGGCAACAACAACGAGGCAAAAAAAAACCAGTTTTCGCAAACAAGATTCGCAAATAACGGTTGATAACAGCTTGCCTGAGCGGATTCCTATAATGTGCTCCTACGGTGTCTGCCGCGGTGTACAGGTGCTGTAATCACAGAACACACTGACGTAGGACGCATCTACTATCTAGGGTCTTAGGGTGAGTACCGGGCCTTTGACGTAGCGATTACGATTACACGAGGAAGAGGGTTCGGGGAGTAAAAAAAAAGAGAAAAAAAAAGATTCGGAAAGTCCTCGGGATATTTCTTCGATCAATCCTCTTCGAACTCTCTTTCTTTCTCGAACACGTAAAAAAGTACGTAAAAAAGCTCCGCGCTGGGCGGAATTTCAGTTCTGCACCGAAAACCGAGCCTTTAACACGGTATTTATCGTAGATTAGGATAATTATAACGTTGCAGCATTCTCTTACAGAAAATATATGTTAGACGATAATTTCGCGGTAAAAAAGCTTTTTTCAGTTAGTTGTATAATTGATCATTATTTGAGGTCCAAGATGTTAAGATTTATTCAAAATCCCAGGTATTTAAGTTTTCTAAACAGCCGAAAGTCTATAAGAATTCAGAAATCGAGAATCCAATTTTCCAATAAATTCGACGTTTTAGATAATCGAGAATAATTCTCAACGACCCGATTTTCCGAAGGTTTAATTCTTCGAGCGTGTCTCCTCAACTCTTATAAATTATGTTATAATATTAATACCGAAAACTTGTAAGAATTATGTTACAAATGTATCAAAGACTGTATTAAACGCTCGGTTTATTCTTGATTCTACGCGGGACATCTCAGTCCTACAGTACGAAATCGCGTTCGAGCGTACATATAAGAATATTTCACCGGGTTATTTTTCGTTTATTTGGCTGCACATTTCCTGACTTACTCCTGATCCTCGGATTACTGATCGGTAAATCGTTGATGCGTACTTGTTCGTTTTTCAATAGCAACCGCCGCTAACAAAATAATTCTGAAAACTGTTAAAATATAACAAGTTACATAATAGCTTACATAAAGTATAAAGATAATACAAGTCGGAGTGAGACCTGGAAGTATGAAGGTTGCATGTTAAAGAGAATTGTCAACAAGAAAACTGAGATATACGCTTGCATTTGTGCCGGTAATTCGAGGATCAGCGTTAATGACTGAGAACTATTGCGAAATGCACTAGTGCATCGGGTTCGTATTTTGCAACACAAACTGTAGGTAGGCATGCGACGTTATACCGATGACGAATCTCGATGGAGATTGCAGAGCGTGGTGATTCGGAATCACCTATCCTAGGCTAAGTCTGGTGGATCTCAAGGACATAAATCCGAAATCTAGGTAAAAACGTAATAAGGCAGACGTACACATAAATAAGTCTGGTATAAGATTGATGTGTAATTTTCAATGTTAACTTACAATAAATGTCGGGGAACTTGGGAAAGCAGCGATAAAAAAAACATTAAAAACAATTTGCACGTCAAAGAATTAAAAATCTCATCTTAATAAGAGTGAAATATCAAAGAAAAGGAATTGAATTGAACGATTTAAGAGTTTTTATTTACAGTCTTCGAGTATCATCTGCTGTAAAAGGATTGTCACAAAGCGGAACAGCTTCAAAGGGTCGAGGCAGGACGATACTCATCAGGTTTCATCTCAAACGGACTTTGAGAGAATCTAAATTTCAGTAAGCGACTACAGATCTTGATTTTACCATCTGCTCATCTTTCGGGAGGTCTTCGGGAGTCACCACGCTCTGCAATTATAGGGTGTACGGCACACATTAATTACCCGAGCTTGAGAGCCTGGCCGCCGGCGCGGAGGCCCTCCTCACCCAACAGAGTGACTTGCTCTTCTTCACGGCTGGGGTCTGCCATCTGCGACACGACACCTCCATGCTCAGCCTGGCAACAGACACAGGTCACCCCTCTTTCGCCCTATCTCCCGTTCCACTCGCTCATACCAGATCCTCTTTCCTTCTCTCTGTTTCAAAATTTTCTTCAACTCACCGACGTCGAAGAAGAAGAAGAGGAGGAAGAAGAAGGAGAGATCTCTTCACGAACTCGCGTAGTTTTTGCTCAACGCTAGATCTAACGATAAGTCTAAATTCGTGATGCTTAGCCATGGAGGAGATGGGAGACGAAAAGTAGAGCTCCAAAAATTTGATCAAGATAAGAGTCGCGAAAAATTTAAATACAAAATTCCTCCAAATTTAAAGAGTAGTTTCACGAAGACAATTTTCTAAACGCACGGGATATCAAATTATGCAAATATTCTCAGGATATTTTCAGATTGAAAATAAGAATTGGATTTCTATAGATATATCCGAATCTTTCAGAATCTAAAGTTTGAATTCGGAAAATCAGATGTCAAATGTTTAAAGTCGAGGTGTAAGACTTAAGACATCTACAGATATACGAATTTAGTTCAATAGGGAAGCATCACGAACTGTATAAAATTCATGCAGCCCTAACTTTTTTCTAGTTCTACAATTTAACAATTAAAGTATTGCTGACTATTAATTGCAACTGAAATAACTGTAATAACTATAGTAAATTAATTTAAGTGGAAACATATATCACATATAGAATTACAATCTTGCTACACATGCTACATGCAAAGAATTTTATTCGTTAATTCAGTAAAGGCTGATTGACTATTTTCTCAAAATACGTCTCTTTTTTAAATTTTTATTAAGACATACGACTGTACTAATTTCAAGATTAATTACTTAAAATTTATTTGCTAAAGAAAGATAATTACAATAATAATTATTTGATATATTTTTCATGGAAAATAATAATAGTTAATTAACAATGCTAAATAATTCACATTAATATCGCGTGGATTTCAATAATTCTCTTAATCAGAAAGATTTCAAAAATTTTATTCAAAACAGAATTTCAAAATTTCACAAATTCAAAATATCGGACATTATCGAACGAATACGTTCCATACAAAGTAAAAAAAGCAAAGCGGCCTTTAAAGAATTAGCGCGTACAAAATACAATTTCCTCTCAATGATGCATATTGAACAAATTTCACATAACGTTGCAGACATTAGTACAATTCATGCAGATTGCCATTAATTCATTACTATTAATTGTACAAGGCTTCATGCTTGGCGTCTACAATTAGCTCGCTTATGGAAGTCTTCTGTGGGGGGTTCTAACAATCCTATAGAAATCTCACATTAATTTCAACAATTTTGTGTAGTGTTTTGTACGTATTTCATTTAATGTTATTGATATTTTTATAGTATATTTCTATTGCTATTATTTGCCACTAAAACTAATTGCTCCTAAAACTTTAGGGAAAATGATTTAAAACTTTCAAGTTATTATTGTCAGAGTATTGTGTGTGTCAAGAAATTACTTGAAATTACAATAATTATTTGCGTGTGAATATCTTGTTGAGTAAGTAAATACAACACGTGCAAACATGTTTGTTCCCAAACATGCATTTCACGAATTACGATACATCTCTGTTCTTATGCAAAAAAGAAAAACATTAAAGTGAACAGAATGGAGAGAACAGAAGCAAAAAATATATGTAATAACATTAATACACTAAAATAAAAACGGAAAACGTTAATGGACTAAAATGAAAGAAATGAAAACTCGAAAGAGAAAATACTGAAACATTTCAAATATAAAATAAAACTAGGACTTTCAAGATATTACGTGTTAAACAACTACAATCAACGGCTGCGTCTTCGAAGGGTACATTTACAAACTAAGACAGCTCTCAGTTCGTGTGCAGAGATGTCGGTAAACAAAGGGAACACGAACAATATGCAGTCTCTCAAAGAATTCTTGGCTACACACTTGATATAAGTAGATCAACAACAAGTGATCTCTTCGATCTAAGATCAAACATTAAACACAATCGAATATATATATCCGTACGAGGTACGCGACGGTACTGGACGGTAACTCTCAAAGGACGTAAAGGGAGACAGGGCGCAGCGAGTGACTTGTGTCCTTTGCAGCAGTGGCTTTTGGTTAGTTGGCAACACTAACACATTAATAATCCTAAAATCACTCAACAATATATATGATTAGTAACGGTAACAAAACGGTGGACATTCTGATATCTGACAATTCGTTAGAGGTGGTAGCGTTCGCCACCCTTATCTCGTTGGTCCTATCTCATCTCGCTGCATTCGCATAAAGTTGCGCAAGCGCAAAGACAGGCCTCTGTGGTATATCTAATTCGCACAGTCCTCCAGCTTTTCATGCATCAGAAAAAAATTGCGCTCAGTCCGTGGACTCTTTCGCTCTTTCGCTTTCTAGTGCGGCTATCCTTCAATGCAACTTTCCTTTCTTCACAAGACATCGCAAGATTGTCACTTCAACGAGATCTCCTCGTGCAAAAGTCCTCCAAATTTTTTATAAAGATTTTTACAAATTTTTTCTTTGGCTGCCAAAAATGTACAATGTACGCTAAAAGCATTAAAGCAGATTTACGAAGAAATCCCATTAAGGTGATAGTACGTTTCACACTGAAGCGCATTAATTAACACTAATCTTCTATATATCCAGAAAGAAAAAAAAATCGCGTCGTTCACGCGTTAATCGATTTACGGAAATGTAAGCCAAACAAATATAAGGCTGTACAAATATAAACTTGCGACATTAAACTTTTTTACAATTTATACATTTTGCTTCTCTGTGCGAAAATTTAATTGCAGCAAACAGAGCAGAATGAATTTCCGTTCGGCGGACGAGACGTCTTGTGTAAGCCGAATTAATGACTGGCGCTTCGTACCAGAGCAATCGATTGCTGAGAAAGAATTCTTATATGTCCATCGCGACTCGACATTCGATAACAAGTGACATTCACCATTTTCGCTGATATTTACAGCCCAATGCGAAGGTTCTTCCCCAAATGAGATTCACATCCAAATTTTTACAAGAAACGATCGACAGACTAGGGTAACCAGACACGCTTTACACATTCCACTTTTTACAATTCCATTGACAATATCGTTTCATTCCTCGTCATTCCTCCTTTCTGAAAAACAGATCTGGAAGACTGCCCTCTCAAGTGCCTTCTTCAGAAAGTAAATTTACCCCGATTCTCTTACGCACATATCCAGATCGTTGAGAAATAAGGATTTGCGCTGGCGGCGACTTACCTCGTCGAAGAAGACCTGAGTCTTTCGCAAGATGTGCTTGAGCTCGGTCAGCTCCAGGAAGTTGCGCTTGAGCGCCTCGGCGTTCTGATTCACTTCCCGCAGCTCGTTCTCCAGCTTCTCGAAGGTGGCCTCCAGGTCGATCATCTCCCGCGGCTGCGGCGCCTCCGGATTTTCACCGGTGTCCAACATCGGGATGCCGTCCTTCTTGATCTCCTTCTCCAGGTAGCGCAGCTTGCGCTCCATCTCGTCGCAACGGCGCACCTCGTTGACGAACTTCCGTTGGAAGGCATTGACGTCGGGATTTAACTGAAATGAGAGACAGATACGTTGGCGCAAGGGTGACGGAGTCGTCGTTATAACGAGATAAAGGCGTAACGACATTGACATAGAGATAAGAATTCATTCGACGACCTGCACGACTCTAACTTTGTCCAAAGTGTCTAACCGTTGGAAAATTTATCGGATTAGTTTGTCAAGAGGTGAAACAAAATCGCGAGAAGGGCGATTACTCACGTCGCGAAACTGCACCAGGCCGAGCTCGCCGAGCTCGGACACGCAGGCATACGCGGCCTCGCTCTGAAGGAAGAGCTGACACAAAGTCATCTCCTCGCTGCGAAAGAGCGAGCCCATCTTCGTGGTTGGAAGTAACGTGCCGCGGGGACGATCGAATGGATCTTATTCCAGGAGCATCGGCCGACGACGTCTCCAAGTGACACTTCATCCGCCTTATCGCAAACCCTGAAACTGCGTGATCAGCCGTGATAGTGTCGCGGCGACAGGCGACGGGCCAGGCACGATCGATCGATCAGTCACGAGGTGCGCGAGCGCGAGTCACGTGGTAGGGGTGACCTCGCTACACCCATCGCGACCGCGATGCCGTCGCCGTCGCGCGGCCGGGCCGGAGATACGAGGGAAGCCCCGAGCCCGGCGGAGGCCAGTTGGACGTTGGACTGGACAATTCGCGTTTGACTGCAAGACAAAATGCTATATTGAAAACCATCGAGCCTGAAGAAATTCTCCTGACTGTCAACGGGGCCCGCCGAGCCCGGAGATAATTGGAGCAAATTGAAGAGTATCGATATTACCGACTATCGATATAAATTTTTCGATTTTCACGTCCATGGCCGACTCTGGCGGCGAGTGCGGCGACTCTTGATGTCACACACCGTCACATGTTATCTGACGTGATCACATGATCGCGTCCGAAATTGATCGACGTCGAGGGAGTAGTCTTTCGAATTTGATTGTTTTTCCCGTGCAACGATGCTTCGACAATTATCGCTCCTCTTCGCCGTCCTGGCCGCAGGTAATTTCCCCGCTCATCCTTAAGAAATCCTTTCGAGAACGATCGGAATGGCTCGAGTTTTTCGCGATCAAGTTTTCCCGGCTGCGCAAGACCAGTCTACCTTCCAAAACATTTTCTTGAGGAATCCGCGAGATACTCCGAAATGTTTAAACTTAATTTTATTTTAGAACGAAGTAGATCTTTTCCTGGACATTTCGAGTATGCTGAGACATGTATTATTTCACCGAAGACGAGTCTGAGTTCAATGTGCTTGTGACGTTCTTGACACTTTGATTATCCTAGTGCTTGCCTTTCTTTTCTAGTTCACGCCAACGGTAACCTCGCCGTTCTTCACTCACCTGACAGCATAGAATTCACCATGAATGGCCCGATCGAGCAAAGCAGCGTCAAGGAGATCTTTCCGGCAGCTCTTGGTTACACCGGAAAGCAGGTGCGTCGTCTGTAATCTCTCAATGGAACCGTCGAAAGTTCTTGGACGCCACGAAGCTTTGAATGCATTCGAAACATTTGAACGGCAAAGCTTTTTATAACATCAAATAGATGAAAGAAGCTGAATCTTGAAGTTCAATCCCTCTGTACTTGAAATAACGTGTGCTTTATGTGAAGATTTGTTCGCTGCGAGAGAAATATATTTGTGATCTTACAGAGGGAATCTTACACGGAGCAAAGTATCGCCATATGGGATCCATTTGCGTTGCCCAAGGCGTTGGTTGCTATACCGATTGACGGAGTAGAGGAACTACCCATCCCAACTTACAAAGCCAAAGTCTGGTATCCTCTGATCGTTGACGAGGCGGAGGAGACCACTTGGCAAGCTATTAGAAGCAGGGTAGAGGAGCGAAGCAACGACAACACGTTGGTCAGGATCAACTTGGGTGATGGGGTTGACGCCGTAAGTATCACATGACTGAATTGATAAATAACAAATAGCTTGATATACAAACGAAACTTGTCTTAGCAGTTTGACATCCTGTTATTGAAGATCCTAGATATTGTAAACAAAACCTTTCTGATATAGCTCGGCCAGTCGGCTCTCGGCGAGCTGAAGCCTGCTAACATGGAGAAAGAGAAACTGAAGTCTCTGAACTCCGAGGTCGAGGAGGATCGCAAGTTCGTCGAGGAGATACAGCTTCTCCATGCTGTCGCTGACAATGCCGCGAAGAAGCACGACTCTGGCACCGATGTTTACTGGTTGGTGGTATCGGGGCTCAAACCAGTCCTGGATCTGCATGGGAACACATCTGCGGCCGCTGAGGAGGCATCTACATTGTTAAGTGACGCAATCGATCACGTTTCCAATGCCTTTGTGAATACTTACGATGGCAAGGTACGAAGGCACTCGCTCTTGATTTTACCTGCACATGTAGCTCGCATCAATGGATAGACCTCGGACTTATTCTTTAGCCTATTTGCACGTTAATAATCGTACGAGGTTATACAATTACATGTTCACACGTTCAGAATGCTTTCGCATATCTGTTTTAGATTGTCGTTGCGGCTTTTACGAATGACGCCTCGAAGGTGAGAAACGCCCGCTCTGTTCTCGAGAGACAGCGCAGAGATACCCCGGTGAGTTGTCCAATACTGTCTGAAGCTTTATATGAGCATTTTGTAATCTACCATTTCGAGTGCAGGATAATTTGAAAATTTTTGAGAACATTGTGAAAGAAAAATATTTAAAAATAGAATTTATGAAAGAACTTATGATAATTATATAAATATACAGTACAATATAATTAAATTAAACATCCCTATTTAAGTCAAATTCGATCATCTTAATGTTCATGAGTACAGTTTTCTTTGAAAACAAGTCTTTACTCTCATTTTATTATTGAAATGATAACAGGATATATTGTGCGAAACATGAAACTATGTGATTATTAAAATTCACCGTTTACTTATTTTTTTATCAAATTATATACAAGAAGAACCATTTTGTATTCTCATATTATTTATAGTCTTATTTTTATCATTTTGCGATTCCGACAATACATAATATATTTGAACGTATATGATACAACTAATTTTGCAACCGATTTGTTAAGTAAGTATCATACTTTTTATCTTAATCAATTGAAATTCCTCTTTCATGCCGAAATATAATAAACAAGACAAAAAAAGATCGCCAAATATGGATTTGAATATTCAAATTACTCCAATTATCAAGGGCTATTGGGTTTAGAATCGCGCGGTGTGTTATTTCGCTTGAAATTATCTGTCCTTTATCTGTACCATTTTTAATTGTTACGGGATATTTTGTAGGCTCATAAGACTAAAAATGTTAAAACCGCTGGTGGTGCCAAGGGAGCGCCAATTAATTCAGACATTAACGATAATTTTTTCGTCAAGGTACCGTGTCGAGTCGCATTGCATGAGCTATTACTTTGATTGAGAGTGTTTTTTTTCCGAATTAGAGATAGCTTTTATGCATGGATATCGCGAACACGACGAATTACTCTTTAATTACTCTAATCAAACGAACTTACAAAACTTCTTCGGCCACTATCCATCCGTTCGTCTTCTTTTCTTTCTCGAAATTTTTTTCAAACGATATTTAACGAATGGTCGAAGCTTGGTATCGACAAATCTAGAATCTACTCGCTAATTCTTTAACATTCCGATGCTCTTAATCGATCAGATTTGAAGCTCACCATCGGTGAATTTAGATAGTCGCTAATGTGATCCTTGAAACTGTCAGTATCCTTGGGCTCAATGAAATTCCAAGTTTGACAGGCAAATTTGAACATTTGCCAAATCCTTAAAATGGATTAAGATCCCTACGAAACAATAGAATCTGAAATTCGGTGTCGATGTACTTAGCAAACTTAAGTCCTTCAAGTTCTAATATCTTTGGAGTCTTGAAGACTGGAGGTTTGCTCTAATCACTTTACTCAGATACTGAACACTTATTGTAGCAAGATGACGAGCAAGACGTGCAAAAGAATAAAACGGATGAAGAGGACAAAAATAGATTATTAACTAGTACTACTGAGCGTACGGGCGATAAAAACGAGATGCCGGAAAAGACCGGCGAAGTTATTAAGGAGAATAAGATAAATAATACTGACATACAGACAATTATTGGACAGGTATCGCAAACATATTAACATGCATCACAATCGATGGGCCCAGGGGAGAACCGGATAAGTCCGGTTTTTTTTTTCAATTTTTACATTCTGATGCTGTTGTATGATCATATTATGTAACAAGTAAACAATTTTTTCTCTACTAATTACTCAATATTGATGATATAATATTATCGAAAGAGGGAGTAAGTTTTTTTTTATATTAAAAAACTTTATAAAAATTAGCATACAGAGAAAAAGCATAATAAAATACAGACGGGCGACTTTGTCGCGCGAAAAAATCGCTCGTCTGTTCGCTCCCTTAATGAATATAGTTTAACACAATCCTACAATCAGTTATGTTGACATGTTGGAATAAACGTAGATCATTTTAAGACAATCGAATTAAATGGTAAAATTCCTAAATTTTGGCACATAGAGAAATTGACAAAATGTGACTTGTCAAGTTCTTTTCCTGGACCCTTCAGTGGTTTTCGTTTTGCCAGACCTTGCCAGAATATTAGAGCACCTGAGTTCTAGAGACTAATTAATTCAATGTTTGCCAAATACTCCAATAGAGCCAAACAATATTACAAGATTGTTCAACACTTATCTAATTCAGCTTCAATTTCTTGTAAGATTTCTTTTGCATTGAGATTTATAATCTGCCATAGATGCCAATTAATGCTTATGTGAATGATGCTTAATAGACATTCTTAATTGAGCAGCAAATTTTAGATAGCTAATTTTGTACTCGAGAAGCGAAAGGATGTAAACTTAAGAAATTACTTCCAGAGATGTTTAATTACTATTTTACATGAATTTTATTGCATATAAATATGCCGAACAGTCGGGCTTGTTGCTTTGTGCTTCTCAAGTGCGAAATTATAATCTTGCATGAAGGCTTGTCATGTCTGATTGCATGCATATGTTTTAATGATGATAAATCTAATAATAGGACTTTCGATGGAAAGTTTTTATTAAAGAAGATTTAATCAGCCAATTAATTGTTTAGCAAGTATCGAAAACAGATCTCATTGATGAATTACGAACTCTCGAGTTCGTTTTATATGTTAATTGCGAAAGCCTTGGTATTTTTTGCGCATTTCCGAATACGCTGAATTTTTTCTTCTTACTCGTTCGCGAGATGTTAAGAAATGTAGAGTGTTACTAGTAAATTTAGCAAGTATCACAGAAAGAGACGTTTGCAGGATTGAGATTTTGTTTCGAGAATTGCGTTTACCTTTGTTACAACGACTAATCTGTTTCAGCCTGAATTTTCCGGCCGTGCGAAAACTTACACGGAGGATTATCCAGTCATCTTCAACATAATGCTGTGGTTCGGCGTCGTTTTCGTCTTCTCGCTTTTAGCAATTTGTAGTACGTATTTTTGTAAATATAGAATTGTATTTAGCTTGTAATTATTTTGAGCGAAATTTCTAAAAATACTCTGAGTATTATTTAGAATCAGAAATCTTTGAAATTTCTTTGTTTGGAATAGTTCTCGTTATTCTGATGGATCGCATTTAAAAGATATTAATTTCTATAATTTACATTGTATATATATTTTATATTTTTTTATATAATCTACATATATAATTTATTTTATCTAATTTATATTCATTTGTATAATTGTGTATTATATATATAACTTTTACAAAGGCAAAGATACAAAAGTTGCTGATCAGTTCTTTGGATAATATCTATGTTTAATCATTTAACCAAAGAAACTTGAACATAATGATGAGAGCTTGATATTTTCAGTCGCCATCGCCGATATGGATCCAGGACGGGACTCCATTATTTATAGGATGACGTCGAATCGAATGAAGAAAGACAATTAAATGTAAATATTATTATACATATTATATATATATATTACATGTAAGTAATATAATTTTGTAACATATGTTTCTCCGTGCAAAATGTAGCTCGTCAGAGTATCTGTATATGTAATTTATCAACTTTAATTCAAATGTGTTCAAGTAGGGAAGTAGGGCTCTATCGCATATTTCCATATCCTGAAAATTATTTAAATTGAGTGATCCAAGCTCGTCAGAGCTACCAAATGACAAGGGTACACATGATATCACTTTATCAAAGCTTAAAAAGTGATTGTTACATCGTTATGAAATTTCTGCAAGTTTGTATATTCCTCGAAAGCCAAAGGCTATCCTAAATATAACGTAATCATCCAAATTAAGACATCTGCGCATTTTTTTAGTCGGTAGAAATCTCGTATATAATTTCAACCGAGTTCAATTTTCAATGCTACAGATACCGGAAAATTAATCATATGCTCATTTTTTACGTTTCTATTATGTGACGAGAAAGAAACGTAAGAAAAAATTACATATTTTGTGCTTGCAGCATTGAAAATCTGATCTCTTTGAAATTTATAATAATCCCCATTGTGCGCGCGCAATATTCGATGCTTTCGCGAACTCGAAGCAGACGACGACGTGCGATCACGTGCGGTCACGTGATCATTGGCGGCGCCAGCGGCCAATTTCGCGCCGTTGCCGTTCCGCGCAGCCGTGCGTTCGATGAGAAGTCGCGCCACGTTTTTTGCATTTTCAAGACAGTTCATGTACGCAGATCAGCGCTAGGAATATACTGACTCGAGCGTCGAATCGTAAAATCATGATCGAGGTAAGCGTGCGAATCGATTATTTTTCTTATTTCTGCGCGTCGCTTTGCGCACGACGCACGACTCCGCGGAACGGACGCGACCGGCGCGAGGCAGGCGAGGTTGCGCGCGCATCATGTGACTTTTCGAACGCGAGCGAGACTTTTACTTTCGCGCCATATTGCACCGTTGAACGCGTCGCGGTGTAGGTGGCTCCGCATCGCTCAGGTATGTTTTGCGCTCAATTTGCGATGTCTATGCGCGTAGTAAATATTCGCGAAACGCTGAAAAGTTTGAACGAACATCTCGATTAAAGTATCAAATCATCGTTTCCCATACAGATCCTTGGTTCTCCGGCGTTCCTATTTCCTCACATTACAACGAATTGACGTCAAGAGCGAGAGACGTTTTTGCTGGCGCTATACGTAAGTATAAATTGATTTAACTGAATTTCTTTCGAAACACCTCAACTCCCATACTTATTTTTTGAAATTATTTGTTTTTTTATTTGTTCTACGATATTCAATTTGTTTGTGGTAAACGCGAAGCCGAACCTCCGTATGCGGGGTTGATTGCCGAACTCGAATGCGCAATTCTCTTGACGCTACCAGAGAGAAACCTCTCTGACATACCACTACAAATATGATGTTTGAAGCGAGAGACGTTTGAATCTTATATATAATTCCACTTGGTGAAATTATATTTCGAAGCAGTATACGTGACGTGTCATTAACACAACATAAATTTTCGTTTGCATTCATTCATGTACAGTATAATTGAAGGGTTTACAATTCGAGTGTATGAAGAACTGCGATATTTTGTTATGCATTATAAAGGAATAGGAAGGTAAAAGGAAAGAAAAAAGAGATTAAAAATGCAAACAATCATGTTATTTGATCCAAACATCAAAAATCCATATATTTTAAATATAGAATGTGCGAAATCTAGCATATTCCTGATGAAATAAATTTTAAATAAATTTTTTAATAATGTGGTTACATGGACATTTTCATATAAAAAATAATTTATACAATCTTAAATATCTTTCCATGTCGTTAAATTTTATTCACTTATTTATACAGAATACAAGTATTTGCAATATGATTGATAAAATAAAATTGTTTTGTTTTTTCCTGAATGTATGGAATGTATAGTAATACATGTACGTGCAGGCGCGTATATATATACATCTTGTTAAAAATGTTAACTCTGTTTTACCCCAAAATAGAATCTCCGTAATGTGTATATATCTACTCCTCATCAATAAGAAAATTAGAATTGAACGTTTTAGACTGGTCTATTTATATAATATGAATAACGCTAATGAAACATTAGAGCATTAAAGCGAAATATACTTACTGGTATATGGAGTAATGTGTGAAGTGTCGAATTGGACATAATCCATGTTAATTAATAACACGTCCAATCGTATATAATTGCTCGCATTCGTTCGAACAAACACATGCCCTCGATGAAGCTATATAACATTCCTAGGTAAGAGAACTACGTTGAAAGACGACATGGTATCTATTTTGGTCTATTTTACATCTATTTTGATCCGTCAGCCGTCACCGGACGCCACTTTATTGTATTAATACTGTCTGATATTGAGTCAGACTTGCTTTTTATAACTGAACTAGTATACACTTTCTTTTAAAGTGAAATAGGTATATGCTTGACTTTTGGCAAAAGGAAGAAGTTCTAGTGCAGTCCAGTGCAATAAAAAACCTTTTGTAAGCTTATTGTAATCTGTGCAAAATACCCATAGATATATAACTACATTTGGAGGGGTAACAATCAGAGTGGTGTAAGTCGAATTTTTTTAAATATTTTCTCGTGTGCATAGATGCAATTTATATATTGTACAGATTGCATCTATGCACACGAGAAAATATTTAAAAAAAATTGACTTACACCACTTTGGTTTTTACCTCTCCATTTATGGAAGTACTTCTTTTTCTTGTTTCCGTCTTACATTAGTTTTCATTTTGCCATTTCGTCTCGCAGTCAACATTCATACTACGGTGATGGTACTAGTTCTCGTCCGATCCTTCCCCTTAAATTAAACATCAAAATTGCTAGTTTTTCAAACTCTAATCGGTCGGAATACTTCCTTAATGCGGTATCTCGTGTCTATCACTTCCGCTATTGCCTTACACGTGCGAATATTGATTAATTTAAATACGTTTTTTAAGCGTCACGATTATGTGACTTATTACAATTATTACAAATGTATCTCCGGTTTTTCATTTCCTAAGTATTTCACCTTGTAATACTTGCTTGTAATGCGTTTGTTATTAATAGCCGTATCGCGATTATGCTTCCTGCATATGTGTGCACATGCGTGAATGCACACGCGTACATGTATGTGTGTACATGTGTATGAATGCGAATAACAGTGTAACAAGTAATTTACGATTAACTATTACATCATCGAATTTTGACTGAAATTCCTAACGGTCTCTTAAGGGGTTAGTCTACCCTGAAATAGACGAATTTTCTGGAATTAATTTCAGACAAAATATCGGTGATACATGAATGATTTTCTTTTCATTATCTTTATTAGGGTTTCAAGAACATGTACAAATTTTTTGGTGTAAAAAAATTTCAAAATCGCGATGAGGCACTCCTTTGCGCGCAACTATGCTTTTCAGACGGTGTACATGGTTTCTGAAATGTGGGTGGTCTAAAAAAAAAAAAAAATATGGTCATTAACTATATTGTATTGTCTTTGGAATGACGGAGCTTTTTTTCTCTCCTCGTTTTTGGCGTCAAGAAAAAAATTCTTGAATTTTTCACTGCATTTTTGAAACGATATTTTGTCTGAAATTAATTCCTGAAAATTCGCCTATTTCAGGGTAGACTAACCCCTTAACAAATCCCTCCGCCGTTTCGAAGAAGTCGATTTTAATTTTTAATCTATAATAACAAAGGCCGTAGTCGGATAAGAAGGATCAATGTGCTTCCACACGGATCATGCTCATTTTTTTTTGTTTAATTGCTATCAGTGTTACTTACAATTCAGTCAAATATTAACCCTTAATATTGAACCGTTTTGGTGTAAAAAATAAAAATAAAAATTTTGAAAATAATTCATATCTCTTGATCGGCTTAACCGATTTTGATGAAATTTTAATATGTTGTAGATATCATCTACTACATATCTTGTAGAAACCTTTCCCAAATTTTCCACAAATGTGTCTCAATGATATCTACAACATATTACAATTTCATCAAAATCGATTAAGCCGATCAGAAGACATGAATTATTTTCTAAATTTTTATTTTTATTTTTTACACCAAAATGGTTCAATATTAAGGGCTAATATTTGACTAAATTGTAAGCGATACTGATAGCAATCAAAGGAAAAAAATAAGCATGATCCGTGTGGGGGCACATTGATCCTTCTTATCCGGCTACGGCCTTTTACAAAAATAAGATGAATCATTCAGTTGCTTTACGAATATACTTAATTTTTAAAAATAGATTCTTTAGCTATAATAATTTGAATCAATATAATCATACTTTCGTCTTTTAATGAATTAATAAGTTTGTTATAATTTAACAGAGTTATTTCGATTAATCATAATTAATTAATTAATTTAATTGACTAATCTATTAATTTCTAACAACATGTGAGAAGGGCTGGTGAACTAGCCGGGTGTTCTTGCTAAAATATTTACTTTAAAAACAATAAACATTATACATGCGTTTCGGCTTTGAATGTGGCCCCTTCTTCAGTGTAACATTAGTCGATCTTTAAATTTTTAATGTAACGACTTTTTAAAGACCGACTAATGTTACACTGAAGAAGGCCACATTCAAAGCCGAAACGTATGTATATTGTTTATTGTTTTTAAAGTAAATATTTTAGCAAGAACACCCGGCTAGTTCGCCAGCCCTTCTCACATGTTTTTATACTAAGCGCAAACAGTTAATTTATTATTACCTATTAATTTCTTCAATTATATTACATTTTGATTTAATAATTTCTGCTTGAATTTATTAAAGCTACAAATTGACAGGGATAAATTATTATATAACATTTGTGAATTATTTTATTATATCTTTTACTTATTTCAATTAATTAAATGATCTCGTTCTTTTCCTTAATGGAATCATAATTTTACCGCCGCTTTACTTTATTATCGCTGTTAATTTTATTCTTTTATTACGTAAGACATCGGTTATAACTTAATCATCTTGTCAAACATTTAAATTTCAAAGTGCGCAATAAAACCAGGCATAATTAGTGGCGTATCGCTTTTTATATATAATAACGGTAACGTTTATCAGCTCGTGATTAACGATCGCCGATCGTTTTCTCGTGTTATTGGTAATTCCCACCGATACGATCTCGAAGTTCTTCCGGTCCATTTCAATCGATATCAGACATTTCTTGTTTACGTATACGTGCATATATGTGTAATGCTGAAAAGCAACTTTCCTCAAGAAATAAGATAAGCATGTAATTTAAGAATTAAGGTGTATACGTGTCTCTTTATACGGAATATCTCTACAGAGATCGAAGTTGTTTCAAGGATCTCTGATACGTATTATATAGATATATATCGAATCGAAGTATTATTGTTATTCCACGCGCGATGCTTTCTGACGAATAAGATCCAAAGATAAATATGTTTATTAGAATACAGTCGTATAAAAATCTAAGTCGTATCGGGAATTCATAATATGGTGATATTGCAACAACTACAGCTAATATAAGATAGCGCGGATTTCAAATCAGTTTAGAATACATGTAACACGTCAAATTACTATTATTACTCTACGTGACAATTTTCTTAACCATTAAATGTGCAAGTTTTTCTTTAATACAAGACAAAGTTAAATTCAAAAGATATGAATAAAAGAATCGAAAATAGAAGTAGAAAGGCCATGACAACACGATCAAGTTAAGTTTTTTTTAGACTATCTGTAATTCGTGACAGAATTTAATTATTTATAATCTCAGGTGCACTGTCTGCAATACGGAAACATTTAAAGGGAATGTACACATGTACCATGGTGCCCCATTTTAATGAAAACAATTGTATATCACCTAAAATTAATGCCGTATAAATAAATTATATCAGAATATGCATATATTTACGCGTTCATGTTATACATGAGTAATATGAGTATACTCTGATATAAATTTTATATTGTGTATTAATTTATGTGTGTGTGTGTGTGTCTAAGCAAACAGCATATAAAATTATAAATAAAATTCCATTTTGAATTACAGATCGCCTGAAGTGGGCTAAAAAACTAAAAGGAATGATGTATGCATTGAGTATAAATGTGTCAACTTTTCAATTCGGATCCACCCGAATCTTTTTTTCCAATCTCGTTTTCGCTTTCTCCCAATCTTTCTGTTGACTTTTTTTTTCTTTCCTCCATCTCTAATACAGCCGGAGGAATATCTCTATCCGAGATCCGAGTCACATCAAGGATCCATGACATATAGATGCTGCGCGCAGCAGCAACAACTGAGGTCGACTCCTCTCGGCGAAGGTTTTCACCCCACTTTCGGGCCAGATACAATCCCCACCTGGGCTCTCGTTGCGCACCCACCCCACCTCCGGGTTCTCCAACAACACCTGTCGTTACGACGGCGAACGACTGGCTTTCCGCCAGTCTGACGTATATACGGTTGTCGCAGGTTCTCCCGAGATTCTTGTCGCGTGCAGCGGACTCCTGTCGTCCGCCCGTCGTTCTCTTTTCTCAGCGTAATAGCGATTTACGATTTACTTGTCGCGCTACGCACCGACCGTGCGCGCGCGCGACCGAGGTTGTCGCACTTGTCGCTCGCGAGCGCTCGTCTTGTTCCCGCGTTTAGTTGTCTCGTTTTCGTTTGTCGTCGCGTGTCGGAAAACTGTGCTCACGACCAGAAGTCAATTGCGTAATCGCACGGGATCTTCAACTCGGGGGATGCTCGGCAGTGATAGCGAGGAGAGATAATGGTTCGTTGTGTGTGGAAGAATTCGGGGATAATTTAGAGATTCGCGATGAAATTCTCCTCCCGAATCAATGCTGATTTCGACGTGGCTCTTGAATTTCGAGGAGGATTTACGAGATTCGAGATCGATCGACTGGCGTGTTTAATGTAGAAATTCGATTGTCAGACGTGATAATTAAGTCGAAAGATTGTTGGTGATCATTGCGTGATCTTTCTTGACGGATTTCTTTTGTTATATCTTACTGCCAGTTGTTAACGATAAATCAAATTCATATCTACGCAAACTTGATAAATTTCCGTTAAAATGGTTTCATTACTTGCGCAACGTTTTGTGCACTGCGAAGGATCTAATTGTCCTCAAGAATTTTTATCCTTGCTTTTGAACATTTTGATAAGTTTAATTACTAACAATTATGTATATTAATAGCTATTTTAATTATTAATCATATTAAGAGCAATTCTGTTGCAAGTTATATTATGTATTATTAATAATTGCCGCGGAAGATTTAGAAAGCATTTGATTCTCGCAGATCGGAAATCCGATTCACGTCGCATCGCGGGAAGATGCGCATTGTATTCTTCGCGGAATCACGTGGCGCATGCATTGCCGTGCCACTTCAGGACCAGTCATACCTGTAATTCCACACGTCCACCACGTGGTCGATCGCAATCTCGTAAACACACTTACCGCATCGGCGATCTAGGAGGGTATCATCTCTAAGCGATCGATCGGTTTCCGAAAGTCGCGTTTAAAGGTCTCGTCCCGAGACCGAAACCAGTATATAGCCAATGTAGCCTCAACGAATTTAATCCACGGCCATAAATATGCGCGAATACGGTCCTCGCGCCGATCGTCGGGATCCATCCGAATAAATCCAGAGATCGTTTTTCGCGCGGACCTACAGCGGCGAAATCTGAGTTCATCGAAATTACATATCGCTCTTCTAATATCTGACTCGTCTTTTTATATACCTGTTCTTCTATTTATAGAAAAACATTTATCGAATATAATCCTACACGATCGAAGGATAGGAGTAGAAAATTAAAAAAAAATGTTAGAATGCGATAATAAATCATTGCAAAATTAGGATCAGTAATGAGTTAGATTTAAATGAAAAGTTTGGCTCTCGATTATATATATTCAAAATTATGCACTATAGCTATTGATTTATAATATTTTAATATCTTAAGAAAGATAAATCGCATCGATAAATTGTCATAATAGCAAAATATCCGTACGCGTTGAATAGAAGCAGGCTGTTTTCTTCCACACATCGTGCAACAAAGGATAATAAGGAAACGATAATCTATTAGCGGAACGATTTGTCATATACGAGGATCGGTGTGTGAAGAATATTAATTGCATCGACGATTATTCGCCATTGATTCGACGCGAAAGAAGATGGACTGCAACGTGGAAAAATTCTGAGAGACAAATATAGAAACATCAGATTAGAATATCAATGAGACACAATATATTTTTCGACTCGCTTCTGAAACGGAAAAGCGATAATCGAGGAAACTTTGTAGATATTCCAACAAATAGCTCTTCGTGAACGAATCTTTTCAAAGAGGTATAAAAAGGCAGCTTCTAAAAAATATATCCCCAGAAAAAAGGTTACCCGAAAGAGAAACATCTACCTGAAGCACATTCAAAGGGATATATTTTCAGCTGGATTATTCCGTAAAAGGAAACACATGTCGGAGAAAAATTCTTTCAAAGATTATACTCGTTGAAGAGAAATTTTCTGAGGAATATTTTTCATGAATGCGTATTCGGCCCTCAATGAAAAATATAATGCTTAGAAAGAAATGCTATTAATGAGAAACATTAAAAGATGTTTGTTCGTGAGAAGATTCGCGACGATTTCGAGGAATTTTTCCGGAGACGTTTTAGAACTTCGAAGACACTGTCAAGGAACAGTCGGTGACGCGTTTATATCAAAGAAGAAGACATACTTCCTCTCTCTTTCGTGGGCAACAATCGCTTATCCTCCTTGATTCTTTTGAAGAGACGTTTCTGCAGAAAGAAAGATCATAGAGCATTCAGCTTCCTTCTTCTTTCCTTCTCAAGCCTCGCGATTGATTGTTATTTTCAGAGCCTACCGTTTTCCACTTTCCGGGTTCGGTGAAGATCGATATCTCTTCGTCATAGCAGGTAGACAAGAATGGTACTTGAGGTGGTGCGCGTGCAAGCGCCGCGGGGCGTCGCGACGCTGGGTCGGCGAATTAAGCTCCGCAACTTCGGCTTTACGTAATGTCAATCTGCCGCTATTGCTGCTGCTGCTACCGACACCGTCGGGTGGGACTCGTCAAGGTTATGGGCCGCGGAAAACGCGCTGCAGACCTGTAACAAGACGCCGCCGCCAAAGCCGCCCGTTGATTCTACTAATCTAGTGAGAAGCAAAGCGTTCCACCAGTCAAGCTGAACGAGCGGAAGCTTTTGAAGGGGACTAAGCAAGTGGAGAGACCGCGGTAATCCGGTAAATCGATTTAACGGGATTTCACGGATCGAGGAAAAGGTGTAGAAATAGGAGAAGAAAAAGGAAGAAAACTTGAAAGATCAAAGAAATTGTGGAAAATTTGACGAGAAACTGAGAAACAGACATAAAGACGAGGAAAACTTGAAAAGTTGAGCGAAACATTAAACAATTTGAAGATTATAACGGAGACCTGCGTATTAAGAAAAAAAAAATTGTGTAATATTCGTCATTCAAAGTAAAGTTAAAAAAGTTAAAGAAAGATTTCAAAACTAGCTAAAGTGAAGAAGTTAACGTTCGGTGAAAAGGTATATGCTGATCAGTTTAAGTGAATCGCATTGGTTAAATAACTTGTACAAAAGCGACACAGGTAGCTAGTTTTAGAAGAAGAGGCTACAAAGGCTAAAGGAAAGTTACAGGAGAAGCAGAACAAATATCAGACAGTTACCTTAGGAAGCTCTGAGAGGTAGGACGGAAACTTAAGGAAACGTCCGCGGAAGCCTGAGGAGGAAAGCCAAGAAAGATACCATCGGGCGTTCTCAAAGAAAACACCATCGGCTTCAAGGCGACACTTGAGCCTTACTCGTGAAGGACGTTGCAAGTGTCTTTTCCTGTCGAGATATCATCAGACACGTCTCACATCGTCTTCCTGGATCAGCGATCGCGTCTGAACGGCCTTCGCAGAAACGCTACGGGAATTCGCGAGAACGCGCGTTACTGAAGTTTCGGACGGCCGCGCGCGTGACGTATGTACGTTCTCGTTCGCGTGTTTGTTGGTGTTGTTGTTAATGAAAGTGTCCGGCCCGTTCACGCAGACTCGCCGCGGCTCTCGGCCCGCGCGGACGCGCATTACCGATTCTCGCGCATCGAGTGTCCTCCACCGAGCTTGAAGTAGGCACTTTCGGATTCTTAGATCGTCGCAGGTTGGTTATTGATCATGTCGAACGACCCCGGACTTTTCGATTAGACGAGTTTTATTCCCGCGCCTTGGTCAATTTGGATTACATTTCGATTCTGTTAAACAGAAATCAAATACCCTGAATACGACTTCTTATTTTGATTTAACGGGATAACTATGAAATGCACTTCTGAATGAAAATATCAGAAGAAATCATTATTTCTTACCAATTTTAACATTACAGTGAATTTCCTGTGATTTAATTGTGGTACACGATCGATGATGAGTAAATCTAAATGAAACGAAAGTGCAAAATAAAATTTTCTCGTCTAAGGCTTTATTTTTGAAAAAATATCGATTTTGTAAATTGAGGAGGTAAAAATATCTTTGTATCCTTTTAAATGCACATTTTAATATACTGCGAAATGTAAAAAGATGCAAAAAATCATTTCTACTAACTTAATTTTCGAAATTTGAGATAAATTCCAGTATAAATACGATGTATAAGATCATAAAGAATATCTAAAAAATATACAAATATTATATTAAACCTTAAAATTTTTTAAGTTATCTTAAAAACAAAAGCGCGAGAAAAAATTTTATTTTATATTTTTGACTTATTTTTGCGTGCGACGTCCCAATCGCAACGTCAATTACGTAACTCTCTATTATATAATTTATCCATGCAGACGAACTTATTTACATTATACATTGAAGTTAAGGAGTTTGTTATTGAGAGAAATTAAGATGATAGAATTAAATACAAAATAGGAAAAAGATTTTCCGCAATCATGTTTCTTTATATACGTCTCGAATGTGTCTCTAATGTCCATTTCTGTCAATGTAGATTAACTTTAATCTCGGGTTAACTTACTTTTGATCTTTTTCCAGTTTTAAGAATTAGAAGAAGATAAAAAGTAAGTCAAACCGAGATTAAAGTTAAACTGCATTGACAGAAATGGATAAAACTGAATTATATTAAAACGGGGAACCACCGGCGTTTTTTAATAATTCGAGAGATATCGAATATCGTTATTCGGAAAGTTACAATAACATTATTAATGCATTCTGAGGAAGATCGGTGATACTCAAGTCTCATGTGTTTAACATATGACTTATTGTCTGCCAACAGATTGGAAGAAGACATCGAATGCCCGGCCTTGTGACGCTCCGTAGGACTCGAGACTTTTGGACGCGGACAGGACAATGAGCGTCAGAATCGTTGTGAGCGTCACCGAGCTCACAAACATGGACGCCAAGGATCGTTACGTCGTCGAGGGCATCGGTGAGTCTCCTATTTAAATTTTCCATCGAACAATATCGTGTCGCATTAAAATTAAGGAAAAAAAATTAAGAGCAGGAAAAGAGAGAAAATTATAATAGAACAGTGTTGACAACTGCGTTTTGAAGAAACCACGTCGAACTCTGTTCATCGCAATGACTCCTACTTTCCTAACGTTTCCGAGTCTCGTTATGGTATCCGTATCATTTTTCTATTTTGATCTGCTGTCTAGATATTTTATCACGCAAGCAAGTTATTGTTTAATCAAACTGAATAACCGATACTCATTCTATATTTTTGAGTGAGACACACCGTACGATGGTCTAAAATCTGAAAAAAAAACTAGCTAAAAACTAAATATTTAATTTTAATTTAAATTTTTTTATTCTAATTTTTGAACAGAATTTTCGCACTTTGAACAATAAAACAGTGTGCGACGGACGCGTCACAAATGTCTGCGACCTGTTTTTACTGAATGAATTCTATACACATTGAAAACTGGTGCTCTCCGCTGAGACCTCCTAATAGGAATATCTAATTTTCTTTTTATTCTTCACACATCGTAAATTATGATATAAAACAAGAAAGAATGCGTCACACCGCGTCACGCATTTTATATCGACAATCTAATTTATGTAAAGTCACGAAACTTGTACTGCATAAAGAACATAATTATAAATTACAAGAAAAAAAATTTGCATTTTTTACGATGTTATATCTCGTAGATCAAAATATCGTCATGCGAAAGAATTAAAAATCTGTATTATATTAATATAGAGTCAGCAAATGCGATATCACACTTATAAAACACGCGCGTTAAATTGTTCAACCTTAAACAGATATTTGCTAAATTATCAATAAATATTAAAATAATCAAACAGAGTAACTGTTACATCTCGTAATGGATATTTGTATTTGCATATCTTATAATGCTATCTTATAATGCTAACTTGAAAATAAAAATTTGAAAGCTTAATGTCTGGCGAGCTTTTTCAGATCTTAGACCACTGTACGTCGATGATTCGCACGTTCGATCCCCCCTCCCCCTCCCTTGCTCATCGAGATTTGTTCGGATAAGAGGCGATTGTTACGTAAACAATGTTATGCGCCGCAAAAGCTACGCAGCACAAATAGTGAATATAAGGATAAATCGGGTTTATAATATAACGACCGTTCTCATTCTGACGTTCAGGTAGAGAGTGTGACTCGCGCAATTTTCTTTTGCTCGCGATAGCAAAAATCAATATGTATTGAAAAATATATATTATATTATATTTTTTTAATATATATCTTACGTACACATATATGTATAATATTTAAATATCAATCCTATTAATTAAAAATACTGGTCTGGTCGCAATCTCAAAATTGGCCTCCTCCGGAGGAAACAAAAAACTGCCAATTACTTGGCTTTTGCGGTTTATTGCGCGAAATAGATAAGCGAAGTCACGAAACTCTTTGTGCAGGTTCCTGGAAAAACGCGCATTGTTTTTCAAAGTTACGAGAGACCGCACAAGAGAGTCTCGCCTCTGAATGCTCGATCGCGCTCGCCAAAAGCGACATGTGTCGCGTTACGCTAATAATACGCTCGCTAAGTATCATTGGTCGGCTCGCTCGCGCGTTTGCACGCAAATTACGCGAATTTGCGCGCGATTCACGACCGCTAACATCGCCGTCAAATAAACATCCGCACGTCATTTACGGGACTCATTTGCGCGCTGCAGATGAGGCCTGCAAATGGACCGCGCGCACGAGATCTGACTCCCGCCCGTCATGTGACTCGCTTGAGATCTATTTTCGATACTCCGGACTTTTGTCCGAGACTTCTGATTAGCAATCGAAAAGAACGGCGTCTCTGCTTGCTTTGCATATTTTTGAATCAATCGTTTCGGCAGCAACGTTCGCGGCGTTCCAAAAAAAGAATTAGTAATTTTCCAAAAATTCCTTCTACTTTTAAGAGCGGCGTCCGTTCTTCGGGAACATTTTATTCTGTTTTAAATTCCGTATTAAAACAGAAAGTACCATTTTCATCGGAAACATCAAGACCAATGAATAAATAATACCTGATAAATTTTAATAAGCGTAACATTATCTTCTAAGTCATAAATAATTAATAATTTCTTCCAAGTTCTCTCTATATATCCCGAGGCGCGTTTTGTCCGATCTAGATATCGGGTATATTATTCGATCTGCTGAGTAGATAGTATTGCTCGGCGTGATTAATAGATTTTATCTGCGTAAAAAAACCGGTATAATTACGCCAACGTTACTTTATATAATCTACTACCGACTATTTGCGACCGTCCGCGCATCGAGAATTTGCAATAATTTCCGCGCGCGCGAATTTATTGCCCGTTACAATATCCCACGTCACCACGATTCCGTACTTGGAAGCTATTAAAAGATCCGTGACTATTAAAATAGAAATTTAATTAAAATTCAAATTTTATGAATACAAATTTCTGGAGGTGTGTTTGTCATTTTAGCGGGCTCGGAATTGTGCGTTTCGAAAGAATTTAATTTGCGTTGAAATTTCACAAAAAATTTTTTATTGCTTCTCATCTTCGGGAGTTTAGAATCGTACGTCTCGTAATTACGAGCTTGTGTCTCTGTTGTCGTAAACTGCCCACAAGGATACTCGTACTTCGTTTTCTGACGGAAGTGTGGCTTACACACACAAAACTTTGTTATGTGATTGATTCAATTAACATTCGAGCGTCACATTTACCGACGAAAGATGAAATCTCTATACGGTGGATCGTGTTCGCGTGACGTGGCGTCTTCACGTGACATGGCAAAACGTAAAATTTCGTAATCTAATCTAACACAGTTGGACTGTAAGGAACAAAAGAGAAGACGTGAGGAAAAGGGGAGGTAGTGATAAGCGAACAATTACATTATCGGTGCGTGATAATAGACAGAGGCCAATTAGCTTTATGACGTTCGTTTATTCCAACTGCGCTTTCGCTGTCACGCATTCCTTATCGCGAATCTTCGCTAGGATGCAAAAATAACTCATCCTTGACATTGAAACACGTTAAGACATCCCGCAAATTTGTTCGTACAAGAAGTTGTTTCGAATTCGAAGTGTGACTTACGAAGAAACAAAGCATAGCAGAAGTTTCCACAAATTCTGAAGATATATTTTCAATTTTCAAGACTCCAAAAATCACAAAACTCAGAAATTTCAAGGGTTATCTTTATTCAAATATCTATTTACAACTTTGAAGCTTGATATGTAAAAATCGACTCGAATCAACTTCGGATGATAAAAAGAAATATTATGTTTTATAAACTTTTTGTATTTGTTGCACGAAGAAACTTTAATAATGATTAAATTATTATATTCGTAGGAAATTATTATTAAATTATCATATTATTATATTCGTAGAATCATAGGAAAATATTATTTAAACGTAATATTCTTAATTCCCAGTTTCATGACTTGACGTTTCTTGATGATTACATTGAATCGATTCTGCCCCAAGGTAGAACGGGCAAACTTTTTATGTCTCGGATTTAAAGACGCACGAGTTTCGGGTACCTATAGTTGAATCCGTCATTTGTGCCCGGAGAATTCGGTAATCGGAAGCGGAACGCCTTCGTCGTCGCGGCTAATGAAACTCGCCGCGGTTCTTGGCGGCAACCGCGGCTCCAAGTTCAAGGTCGTTATGCTCCGCGGCACGTTCCGCGACTTCCAGCGGATGGTATCGGTGCCGTTTCCTACCTCGAGCCTCGGCCGTTACCTACCTGGCGGAGGAGGTAACAGCATCGCCACGTGCCGAGGCGTCACGTGCGCGTCCTCGTGGCGCGGTAAATAAATCAAATCCCGTGCGTTTCTCATTCACTTTAGACGCGCAAACACGTCCCAGTCTCGTTAAGCATGCGAATTCCTAATTGAATCTGGAAACTGCACATTGCTGAGATTCTCTCGCGATCTTCGCGGAAAAAAAAAAAAATTATCGTCGCCAGATTCTCATCTTTCGATGATAGGAAATTACGCGATATTACGAAGAAGCTGCGGAGAGGAATTGTCATTACGTCACAATGCGGTGTTAAGAAATCAAATCCGGTTACTTTTTGTTTTTGCCGCAGCTACTTGAAGTTATCTCCTCGCACATGAGAATATTTCTATTTCATTTCCTGTCGCAAATAGATTCTTGGTACGTTCGATATTTCTAAGCGCTATAAAAATTGCTGTTTGGCGGACAAAAGGAAATAAGTAAACGCTGTTTTATCTTATCACGAAATGTTAAAAAGACGCACGATACTTACGTAACGCGAACTTGTTTCTTTTTTTCTTTTTGCAAAGTAAATTATCATACGATATGAATGCCGGCAGCTCTGCAGACGTTATAAAAATTGAACACAGGTTGTTTTTTTGACCAAACTGACATTTATTCTTACGTTAACTCTGAGTTAACGTAAGAATAAATGTCAGTTTGGTCAAAAAAACAACCTGTGTTCAATTTAACTCTGAGTTAACGTAAGAATAAATGTCAGTTTGATCAAAAAAACAACCTGTGTTAATTTTTCACTGACAAAACAAAGAATTTTGGAAAATAAAAATTGAAGTATTGCTAATTCTTTTACCCAAACGCATAAGGAGTACCAGTTATAGATTTTTTCGAGGTTTTTTCGAAGTATGCAAATTGAATTTCTTCATCCTGCCCACAATCAATAATGGTGTCCCATTGAACAAGAATTCCCGGAGCATTTCGTATTCTCACAACTTGTTATCCTAAGAATTCATTTAAGTGCGGTAAATAGATAAAGAAAAGGTATGTTTATTCTCGATAAACCTAAGTATTGATCATCCTGTTCTCCGAACTTTTTAACACAAAAGAAATTACGATGCGCATATCTCACAAGCAGATCTGCTCCGAAGCGCTGTCGGGAGATTAATTAATGGCCAGGTTGTCGGACACACACCGGTTAGTGGACAATGTTGTAGTGAACGATCTTCTTAAGATGCGGCAGCAGGAAGTCACTGGAATAATGGT